GGTACGGGTAGCCCTCTGGTAGCCCACGGGAGACTGCTGCTACTGTCTCGATCGCTCCAAAAGGACCCCGAATGTGTACCTTTGCCATAGGTAAACACACTGAATCTTCGCTGACGGCCTGTCTTATCCACGCGCATTCGGATAAGTAGTCTTCACTTTTTACGTAGTTCGGATGGACTACGTCCATAGTGGCCGCGGAGTCTCTGAGTACCCTACACCTTTTGTCATTAACCATTAAATCTGTCGTGTAAGGTTTCAAAAGATCTAGGTTACTCGGGTGATCGCTTACGCAAGCAAACACTGGCCTACCTTTTGAGCAGTTTCGGGCAAAGTGACCTGTTTCGTTGCACTTGAAACATAGCGCCTTAGCTCGCGACTCTAACTCTTCTAAATGATTTCTGACCTCCTTTCTGTTCTTTTCCGGCTCTTTCAGCTTGCCTTCAGCACGCGCCGAATTTTGATTAGTTTCCTCTCGCTCTTTTGTTGCGCTTTGCGGTCCTCGAGTGTAAGCTTGGGGCCGTGGTGCAGGCCTTTGATAGTGATGTGCGCTGTTGATCGGGGTCCTGAAGCCTCGACTGGCCACGTACTCGTCGGCAAGCTGTGCTGCACTCCTAACAGACACACCTTCCTGCCTATCCTTGACCCACAGGCGCACGTTATCCGGCAGGGTGTCATAAAACTGCTCCAAACAAATTAGATCCCTCAGTTTACTTAAGTTATCCGCACCTGCTCCTTTCACCCACTCTGAAAAATTATCACTCAGGCTACACGCAAACTCAACAAAGCTTTCACCAGGCTTCTTTCTTTCCCGTCTAAATCTCCTCCGAAATTCCTCTGTGGAGAGCCTGTATTTTGCGAGTAATGTCGACTTCACTGAACTGTATACGCCTGCCTCGGCTGCGCTCAGTCTGGCCACGACCTGCGAGGCCTCACCCGGTAACAACGCAAGCAACCGCTCTGGCCAGGTGTCCTGGTGAAATGAATGTTTCTCACAGATCCGTTCAAAATTAATCAGGTAGAGACCAATGTCCTCGCCTGTTTTGTACGGCTGAAGCAAACTCGTCATCTTCAGGTTCTCAGTATGCGGCGGCGCCGCATCTGCACTGCGTGCTAATCTCGCCTGCTCTAGCTTTATTCTCTCGAGCTCAATTTCGGCCTGTCTTTGTTCTCTCCTTTCCTGCCTTTCCTTCTCTTCCGCTCTTTCCCTCTTTTCTTCCTCCCTTTGTTTCTTCTCCTCACATATCTTTTCCCAGGCCTCGCTGAGCTCGTCCTCCTCGAAACCCCCTTCGATTATCGCACTGCGAATTTCGGGCTTCCTTAACCTGCTATTGATATCCAAGCTGAGCTCTACTGCTAACAGCAACAGCTCTTCTTTCTTTAACACTCCGATATCCATATCTTCACAAGAGCCAACCAATACTTCTGCAATATTCACCGCACACTTGTGGCGGCCCTTCAGAGCCAATTGCCCGATAGAACCCTGTTCTTATCGTCCGGCAAAACGTGATCGCTCAAGCACTCACCCAACCTCGAGCTGCCGAAGGCCGTGTCTCCCGGAGCCACGTTCCCAGGTCCGCCGATCCCAGATCGTCGGGTCTGCCTTCTGCTGCTCGTCCTTAGTTTCCGGTAGTCGTTACTGCGACGGTTGTGCCTCCCGGAGCCACGAAGTCTCGCTCTGCCGATCCCGGATCCGCAGAAGTCGATCTTCCGTCCGCAGCTACTTCCAACCTCGAGCTGGCGAAGGACGTGTCTCCCAGAGCCACGTTCACAGGACCGCCGATCCCAGATCGTCTGGTCTGCCTTCTGCTGCTCGTCCTTAGTTTCCTGGAGTCGTCCACAACTTCATGCCGTTACTGCGACGGTTGTGCCTCCCGGAGCCACGAGGTCTCGTTCTGCTGATCCCGGATCCACAGAAGTCGATCTTCCGTCCGCAGTTTTCTGCATGCCTTTTCTTGATTCCACCGCTGCCATCCAGTTTGTAGCGTCGTCGGGGTAGATTGGGTGGGATGACCAAGATCAGGCAGGTCATGAAAGCAGGACGTCCATTTAGGAAACTTGAAAAAAAGGATTTATTTGCATTCAAAGAAAAGTTAACTGGTCATCGTCGTTCCCCCTTCTCCGCCCGCCGTCTCCTCCGTCCTTTTTATCCCTCTCGTTGCCGCCCCTCTCCCTCTATCTCGGTCCATCAGTCCACTTCACGAAAGGCAGGGGCGGCCCGCAGTCAGAGGGGGGGATCAAGGGGGTGAATCGTCCACCCGGAACCCGACTTCCCCTCAGCTCTATGCTCAGTTGTTCCAGGTGGACCCATCCCTCCAAGAAGCAGCGACGAATCTTTCGTTCCCCGAAACCGCCGCCGCATTCCGCAGGGCCCAGCCGTGGCGCCAGCGCACCGTCCCGCGACACAATGGTCAGCCTCAACAGTCGCTGCGTTCGCGGAACTGAGTGGCGGCGACCTCGCGCTCGCCTCGAAGACGTCACTGGCAGCGGGACGCAACACTCTTCTACCTCCCTTTCTACCGTCATCTGTTCGGATCACATGGGCATAAGGTTGGTTCGTGCACCTACACCAGAGCGCCTCAGTACATTCGTTACGGTATGATCAAGATATATATAGTGATATCGCCCCCCCCCCTCTTCCATATTTACAGCATATCCCAAATATGGCCGTGTGTCGTGGATAGAAAGCTACCGTCATCGGGAACGTGCACGTGCTCCCTTGATCCTCTTGCCTTTATATAATAGGTACGCTCATGACCATTAGTAGACATTACAGCAGGGGGATATAAGCATGGATAAGTTAACAACCATTCATTTCGGCGCAGAAAGTGTGGTATTAACGTCATTACATTGTATTTCTACAATATGTCACGGAAAAGAATTTCACTTGCTCGTGGCCCTACGAAAGAGGATGTCAATGCGATATATTTGCTCCTGTCTATGCATGCTTTTTTGAATAAACGTCGTGAAAAAATTTGAGCCTGAGGGCTTTTCAAAGTTTGTCTCAAGCCCTGCCAGTGAAGTGTGCGCCTATTTTCAGTGATACTGAGGCTATACTGTCGCAAATTCCCAAGACAAAACGCACTTTTTTTCTAGTAGGTCAACTTGCTGACTAAACGCGTATACTGAAGTACTGATACTCGCAGAACACGTGCGCCGACCAATAACTCTGACGCATTCTTGGCGAGGCGAGATTCGTCCCCGCGTGCCCAGAGGAGAGGGAGACAGACATAAAAAGAGGAGAGAGAGAGAGAGAAATAAACGGTAATTTAGAAACAGTGTTCCGAGCGAGGCCCGGTATCACCCTAAGGTGGGAAGGTTCCCCTAGTACAGGAACCCTCTGGCTTCAACTGCCCTCTTGGCCCTGGCCACGAGTTGTCGCTGGTGTTCCAGGTCCTCGAGGACGAGCTTGGCCTCCCGCGTTTCTATTAGATAGTCGTCGTTTATTCTTGGGGCGTGGTCCCGCTCCAGTTGCATGTGGTGGTTTGCATGGCACTGACATTCCTGGAGCAAGTGTGCCAGGGTGTCTGGTACGCTGCAAAGCGGGCACATGTAGCCATGTGTTGTTGGGTAGAGGCGGTGCATTAATATGCCATGTATATAACTGTTGCTTTGCAGGCGTCTGATAATCACGCTCTCTTCTTTAGTTAGTTTTGGATTGGAGTAGAGGGTACACCCGTCGCTACAGTTTGTACTGTTGACGTAGCGACGAGTAGGTGTTTTCTGCTTCCTCCATCTCTGCAGCCACGGATCGGGTATCCTTTGGTCCTAGGGCAGCCCGGCTGACGTGCTCGCGGCAGCGGGGTGGGCCGCTTTATTTCTCTGTAGACCCTCGTGTCCGTGAACCCAGATACGCAGGTGCATGGAAATCGAGAGCTTCGACGTTGCAGGATATTGATTGCGTCGGCTGAGACGTGGCCCTTCGCATAATTCCGGCAAGCGGCTTGCGAGTCGGCGAAGATCATCGCGGCGTCTTTACATGTGGTGGTGGCGAGAGCGATTGCCGCCGTAGCCGCTTCTTCCGCTACGTCTGAGTTGCGTGCCTTGACTGTGGCCGACGCTAACTCTCGGCCTTGAGAGTCTGCGACGCTGATAGCATACGCGTTTCTACGGGGGTACTTGGCCGCGTCGGTATAGCGGGCGTTCTGCTCTATAGCCTTTCGTCTATTTTTGTGGAATGTGGCGTGCATTTTGCGTGGGATAGGCGCGATGGACAGGGACTCTCGAACGTCCACCGTGATGCGCTTTTCCGATCTGCATCCGCAATGTATGATTCGCTGTAGTTGAGATACCGTAGTACCGACCTCCCTGTAGGCGGGATGTTGAGTCGTTCCAGCTGGCTGTTCTTGCGAGCCTCCGCGAGCTCTTGCCACACACGTGTCAAATTTAAACAAAAGGAGAAAAAAAGAGACTGAAAGAAGTAGAGGGACTGATAGGAGCAGATACGAACGCAAGTATAGCTATGTATGGCTATGGACAAATGCCTATAGCCGAGACCAGCTGGGGGCCCACCATATCTGCTGGGATCCAGGCTTGTGGACTTCGTGCAAACTGCGCTAATTTTTAGGAGCTTGCTCGTCAGGCTTATGCTCGCGCCTTGTCCGTTGTTGGTGCCGTGTGCACTTGTTTTCATGTGCACTGGACGCTAGAGGCGCCGCTGTACTGTCGCTGCTAAAGCCACCGAAACTTTACTCGCAGCTGCGCTCTCTCCGGTGAATCACGCAAGCGGCGCCTGACTGTGTAGTCCTGTAGTCAAAAGTTCCCAGGCCACGCTTACTTAGAAATACATGCGATAGTGGCCTGGTAACTTTTGACCCCCCACCCCCCTGTGCATTCGTACGTGTTTGTATGTATGCGTGTGCACATGCAAAATTAAAAACTTTCGGTGAGGTTTTGACCCTCCCCCAGAGTGGCGGCTTCTAACTCTGAGCCTTGCGGGAAAAAGTGCACCCTGAAGTCTTCGTTTGAGGTTCTTGAAGGCAAGTAAAAACTTGAGACAAATGTTTACAAAAAGAAAGGACTCTTTATTGAAAAATAGCTATTTTATTACGAACCGCGGTCGTAATGTGGTCTTGGACACAGTTTTGTATATCCAGCCTGCGCAGCCTGGTAAACATCCGCAATGTGACACACTTAGTTCGATTGGAAATTGTAACGAGTTCGCTTGGTTCTCCTATCTCACTGTAGGTACGTTTATTTAAAAAAAAGTGCACAACAAACTTTTGAAATGATGCTCATTTTGCTGAACTGGAAAATATGTTGGTATTATAGTAGGGAAAGAACCCCCATATTCTTACAGTGAGTGGCAGTGATAATTGATTATACTAGTTGTCTGCTGCACAGCGCTGTCACCTAAACCTTTTACTGAAAACGAACTGCTCGTGAACCAGCGCGCCGACCGTAATGTATAAAAATAACAAAAAAGAGAGAACAAATTGGTTATTTTCAGCAACCACAGCGCCGAAAACAGCCCGTATAGCGAAAACGCTGTCAGAATGTTGAAAATAGCTGCCATTGAAGCGTTCTTCCGGTTCCGTTATACGGCATCCGGGTTTCGGGGGGGGGGGGGGGGGGGGTCGCTCAGTTCTTGGGCACCTTGAAGGACTTGCTCTTCTTGGAAGGCTTAGCCGTGGTAGCGGCCTCCGTGGTGGTGGTGTCCGTGTCGTTGGGAGGGTTGATCCGCAACTGAAAAACGAAAACAAGTGTTACGCTCTTACAATGACACGCAGCATTCAAAAGAGGCCTAGTAGCACCGCCACGGTGGTCTAGTGGCTAAGGTACTCGGCTGCTGACCCGCAGGTCACGGGATCAAATCCCGGCTGTGGCGGCTGCATTTCCGATGGAGGCGGAAATGTTGTAGGCCCGTGTACTCAGATTTGGGTGCACGTTAAAGAACCCCAGGTGGTCGAAATTTCCGGAGCCCTCCACTACGGCGTATCTTATAATCATATGGTGGCTTTTGGGACGTTAAACCCCACAAATCAATCAAGAGGCCTAGTAAACTTTATCTCGGGGTATACACAGATGACGCCGCGTCCAGAGCTCAAGATGCCTCGCGCACAAAAACAAGGTATACAGCCATCGACGAAGTTGCGCAGATGATGGCATTCCGCATTATTCTCGTGACGTCATCGTTCGAGTAGTAACACCAGTAATACGTGACGTGGCTCACAACAGTTCACTAAAAAAAGAATATCGAGTATTTGGGTCCGTGACTTGTGAGTAAGCGCAGACAAGGATGTCGAACAGCGGCGTCTCTCATAATCATATGGTGGTTTTGGGACGTTGAACCCCACATATCAATCAAGGATGTCGAAGAAAAATGACATGGGCAGAGTGCTATACTTTCAACTGATCTTTTATTTTAGCACGAACCAATAAACATATACCGAGCGAGCGGAAATGACAGAAACAAAATTCTGTGGATTCACATCGTTGAACCGAGCACGTGTACAAAGCACTATCACGGCGTGGCGAAAATTCATGTCACTGCGACAAATCAAGGCAATGAAACAGTTTTTGAGAAAGCGATACGGATTGATTGATACGCGGGGTTCAACGTGCCAAAACCACCATATGATTTATGAGAGACGCCGTAGAGGAGGGCTCCGGAAATTTCGACCACCTGGTAAACGCGATACGGAAGCTTGGCTAACGCCACATGTTTGCTATAATCTCGGAATTTCATGTGCCTCAATAATTCCCCTTGTCTCTTGGTAGTGTTTGGGGCAATAATTACGCTACGCAGCTATCATCCTTATCAATCTCGCGTGCTTTCCTTGCGTCATCCCCGCCGTAGTTCCCGGTAACGATAGTTTCCTACGATTACCTATAGATGGAACTCTGGCGCTGCAATCGTTCAGCCGCCATGAGAATGATGGGTAGTAATTACTCAGATTTGCCCACTCTTCGTGCTAGCGGGCTTCCAGCGCACTTGAGGGTTCGTTTATATTTATGTTCAGAGTCCGGAAAACTTCCGCAGAACATCTAAAACTACAGGAATTTGTTTTATGACTTGTGATACATCAAAATGCATCTTACACAACAGGAATTTGTTTTATGACTTGTGATACATCAAAATGCATCTTACACAACAGGAATTTGTTTTATGACTTGTGATACATCAAAATGCATCTTACACACTGATCTACGTGGTGAGTGAAGATAAGGCGCCTCACACTGGCGTCATATGGAGCTGTGTTCTGTACGTGCCTCGCTATGCTTGGCGGCCGGGCTATATTTAGAGAGACAAACCTGCGGAAGTCTCTCGTGTTTGTAAAGAGCTCTTTCACATTTATTTTTTTTCGGCGTATTATTGCCAGCGCCACGTTTCCGCTTCAGCGATACATGCTGCATTGTCGATTTTATCTTTTCTGCCCCGCCGCGGTGGTCTAGTGGCTAAGGTACTCGGCTGCTGACCCGCAGGTCGAGGGATCGAATGCCGGCTGCGGCGACTGCATTTCTGACGGAGGCGGAAACGTTGCAGGCCCGTGTGCTCAGATTTGGGTGCACGTTAAAGAACCCCCAGGAGGTCGAAATTTCTGGAGCCCTCCACTACGGCGTCTCTCATAATCATATGGTGGTTTTGGGACGTTAAACCCCACATATCAATCAATCATTTCATATTTTTTGTTTGTTTATAAACACGGGTATCGGCGGAGTTTCTTCTCGACTGCGTGAGATGCGTGCTATAGTAAGCTCTGAAAGTGGCACCCATTTATGTTGAAAGCAGGATAACGTTTTTTTAAATCTTTTTTCTTCGAAAGACGAAAAAGAAAAGGGCTCGGCCCTAATGCACAGCTCTATTTTCCTCATGAACCGTTTCATATTGCAAACAGCGCACGCAGCACAAGCACGAAGGAAAGTCCCGTCCACCCCACGTTCAACGTCAAGACAGTGGTTTCCTTCTCGTCTGCGCTATAGGCGACATCTACCCTCTTGTTACGTACTTCTTATAAGCAGTGTACAATCTCAGCACTAAGCGTTGAGCCTATCGGGATTTCGCGCTTGTCGTCCACACGCTGCTGTCTCCGCTTCAGAGCTCGGAGGACCTTGCGAGGTGCGATGGACCTCCCGAGGTCCTCCGAGCTCTGATACAGGCAGGCCCGACTCGTCGCTAAAGTCATCCTAGGGACCCTGGACTAGGGGTTCCTCCCATGCCCTCCTTCTCCATGCTTTTGCGAATAAAGACGTTTTTTTTTTCTCTCTCTCCGCTTGCGAAGTCGGAAACACCAAAAATGTAGTTAACTAAGTCGATCGCGCATGATAACTATCGTGCGAGACGAGGAAGAACGGGTGGGTGGCTGCATTGCAGGGAGCCATGGGAGGCGATTCACATCCGATATTTCGCGTATATGGACCAATTGCGAGAGTATGTGCCGCAGTGACGTCACGCTAATCGCCGCTATTTCGTCACGAAGTGCGCCAGAAAGACGAGATGCGGCAGGAGATAATGCGCTTTGTTTTTTTATTTTCTTACGCTGGGTAACGGCCCGTTAAAGAAAAGCCTTAACCAACTCGTGCAGGCCTCTGCTGTGCTCGACATTTTTTTTTTCACGTTTTGTGGTCTTGCTCGTTAACAGCTCGAAGTCCCGTGACCTCAACAGAACGTCACGTTTGATGTCACACAACCGCCGTAAAATTTGAATGAACGGAATGCAAGGTTCAGCCTGGCGTTCCAAAAGTAGCGCCTACATACACAACGATGTGCCGCGAGGAAACGAAGGATGCTCACCAGGATGCGCTGCTTCTCGGCGCACGCGTACTCTGACTCGTCGACGTCGTTGTAGCAGTCCGACTTGTATCCCTTGGGCAGGCCCTTGCCCTCGAACTCGCACAGCTTCTCGACGGGCCTCGCCTTGACGATCATCTTGTCCAGGGCGCGAGGCTTCTCTTGCGGACAGTAGAACACCTTGGGCGTGCTGGCGTCGAACACGATGCTCTTGCGCATCATGTCGCCCGACGCGACGCACGCCACCTGCAGTGTTTCAAGGGATAGTATCAGCGCCCTTGAATCCGCCTGGTTGGAATACATGCTGACTCTGAATGGAGAAACAGCGCTGCAGGACGGAGACGAGAAGACACAAAGACGGCGCTGACTAACAACTATGTTTCGTTGCTTTTACACGTCAACAGAAAAAAAAACACAATCAGCGAACAAATTGAGGAACCAGGTATAGCTGAAACATGCCCATTCGCACATTCGATAGATACTTGATTTCATTTTTGTTAGAGCTATATATATATATATATATATATATATATATATATATATGCTCTAGTCATCGACTCGATCTATATTTGCATACCACTTGACAAGGTTACTTTCTTACGAAACTTCTGTAGCATGTGCTGGGGCCCCGCCGTGGTGGTCTAGTGGCTAAGGTACTCGGCTGCTGACCCGCAGGTCGCGGGATCGAATGCCGGCTGCGGCGGCTGCATTTCCGATGGAGGCGGGAATGTTGTAGGCCCGTTTGCTCAGATTTGGGTGCACGTTAAAGAACCCCAGGTGGTCGAAATTTCCGGAGCCCTCCACTACGGCGTCTCTCATAATCATACGGTGGTTTTGGAACGTTAAATCCCACATATCAATCAATCAATCAATCAATCAATCAATCGCGGCAGGCACACTGGTGCCGACGTCTGCTCAGCTCTACGTTTCTAGAACTAGTTCTAGAAACGTTGTGCCCAGTTGTGCGCCTCCGTTGCGCACTGAGCCGCGCCGGAGTCGCTTGATATATTGCCACATTCCCTCCTCAATTTTTGGTATCGCCTCATTTAACTGTCGGTAATTCTCGGCGCAAACCGCGCCTGTAGTGTCCGAGAAGCTTCGGGACTGCAGTAGATAAATCTGTTATGATTACGCCCACTTTGCGAACATTGTAGATTATTCTCGAACCCACGTGGCCGCTAGCGATAACGCTAGAATGTTCGGTGGCGCGCGTATAAATGCCGACGCGCTTCACCGCTTGTCAGTTGATTGACGGCTGACGCTCCGTTCTCTGCTATCTGGGCCCGTGTATCGCTGTGATCTGACCTTCAGTTTCCCGGGGACAAGTTCGGCCGAATAAACAGCATCGAGTCTGCTCCCATCGTCCACGTCATGACCCTTGACATCTGGAGCAGCTTGCGCGCGCGGCTGCCTTAACAGGTGAGGAAATAACAATGAAATTAGTTCTTTCGCCAAATGTGTAGAACTATTTCGTTATCGTACCGCACTGTCTAAGGCCGTTTGTGGAAAGCGCGAAGCTGCTATACGTGGCTTAGACGCTGGCGGACAGCTCGCGTAGAGTGTGTGTTGCACGCGTCGCGGCTGCTCTTGAATCTGAGCGTACTGCAGTTGAAAGCGCTTCATTTCAAACGCGTCTGGTTAGTTCTCACATTTGCTGGAACAGCTTGCTACCCTGAAAGCTGTGTAACTGATTGATTGATATGTGGGGTTTAACGTCCCAAAACCACTATATGATTATGAGAGACGCCGTAGTGGAGGGCTCCGGAAATTTTGACCACCTGGGGTTCTTTAACGTGCACCCAAATCTGAAGCTGTGTAACTCAATCGTCCTGAGAAAGTGCGTCAACTTACCCCTTCCCCCCTGCGCCCCCCTCCCCCCCCCAAAAAAAAAACTTTCAACGAAACAGCCGTTGGCGTAGCCAGAAATTTCGGCAGGGTTATGCTTGGTGTCGCACACGTCTGCTGCCAGACTTGTGGGAGGGGGGCAGTGTTGCTAGACTACTGCCAAATCCAGCGGCATATTTGCCCCTTCAGTTCAGGTTTTCCTAATGTTTTTCTATGGGCTCTCAGTGTTTCTCTACTGTCCGTGGCGTTCTAGTGTCACTGGGGCTAAACTGGGGCGCCAGTGACCTAGCTACCGCTTCTTCGTGGTTTGCAGTTTTTTGCCAGCGCCAGTAGTGTGCCATTAACCGAAGGTGCCATATTGAGCGCGTTTTGTTAAAACGTCACGCCTTTTGCGACTATTGAATGATTTCCCCCACTGAACGCGTTGCTGTATACGTATGCAGTAGGCGCGACACTTGCAGCTACGGACATTCCATACTTCGGACACAACGAGCCTGGTGTGTCGCAATGCTACCAACGAAGTGTCCGGACGTCTGCTAAGCCGTTGGATGCTTATGGTGGAGCAAAACTAGGCCGTAACGTCACATAAAGGGGGCGCTTAGACTCGGGGGGGGAGGGGCGGGTTGTTGCAACAAATCTTCGCCTCCCTCTTTCCTGCAGGAGAACCCTGCGGACGACTATGCATGCAACGTGCAGTCACTTGCCGTATTTCATTGCATTGAAATCGCGCTTGTGGAAGCTAATGACATGACAATACTTGCATCACTTGTGATAGTACCGCATCCTGTGTAAAAAGAGGTTGGGCGTTGTTCCCCCCACCCGGATCTTGGCAGCACTCAACTGAGCACGTCATCACGTTTATCCGCGGCTCTTTTCTCACCAGATTGCCAACGCTCGCGTCTGGCGCTTTCCTTCGGCAGATTTGTGTGGATTGCAAAAACACGGCGAACGGAGGGAAAGAAGGTTGTCACTGGAAATTCAGACACACACCTTTCGCAAGACAGACGCCACAAAGGAAACCGGGGTTACTGTTTTTCAATATGCGTGCTTAGAAAAAACAATTGCAAATCGAAGAAGAAAAGAATAGCCAGCTGGCAACTGCCAAAGGAAAGAGGCATGCGGAGGGAACAAGGCTTACCAACTCTAAAGAAGAAAACTGGCAACGTACAGTCTCTTATCGCCTATAGATGGTCGCGACTTGGCGACTTACCGAAATTGAACTCGTTAATCCAAACCGAGATGTTCAGAAATAGAAACGTAAATTTGGAGGTCATGCTTGGCCAATCTGGCAAAAACGTGCGTCGCTGTTTCAGACTTCGAAATCAAGTCTCTTATGCGTTTGCCTAAGGCGACTCAAAACTGAGAGCACGTCCTTTTCATGTCATTCGAGTGTGTTTGTCAAACCTCGAGTTTCCTCCCCTTCTCCCCCTGGAAGACTTTCTGTACCTAAGGTGGAGTGCCAGTATGGACATTGTCAAATGGCGCCTTGTTGTCGAATTCCGTCATTGGTCAAATCTGATTGGCCCATAAGGACACTACGGCCTCTCCGATTTGACAACGTGGTGGCTGACTGTGTTGCTTCCAGGATAGTATCTGTGTTTTTGCACGACATCCGGGATCGGCACACCAATGACTGGGCAGCGATGTCATGGGATGACGTCAAAATGTGACGTCACGTCATGTTATGACCTTTTGACGTCAGAAATACCTGCGATCTGTACATTGTTTATGGTTACTTCAACGAGAGTGAACGCTTCGAGAAACTCGCGCCGCTGTGTCCAATCACGCACACGAATTAAAATCACCATCTCTGTAATAGTGGGTGCATTGCAGACTGACATAAAGTGACTGAGAGGTTCCTTAGGGTAAGAAACGGGCAAACATAAGGACATCATCTTGTGCTAGAAGCCCCCACTTCCATTTTTAAAATGTTAAAAAGAAATCTAGTCTGCAAATCTTAGTTGTATTAGTAAAACGCTTTGAGAATGATTTTGTTATATTCCATATGAGTAGCTTTCCGTAGCCCACAGGATGAATACGCAGCATGTATTCATCTATACATGTCTGCGCACGTCATGGTGGCAGAGGAAGCATCCTCCTATAGACCATAACCACCCGGCATCGCGTTTTTACAGGCAAATTCAATGCGTGTTTTCGAAAGCCTTCTATGGCATGCCATCTCCAAGTATAGGAGACGCATGCGCAGTTTATGTGAGGACCTCGCGATCACGCCTGGAACCCTTGCTATCATGAACAGATATACGCCAGCTGTATGCGCGTGAGGCAGGCATGCGATAACACGGAAACAGCGGGAAAACACTTGGTTTACGGTATAAACAGCATACAATGCAGGTTACTCACCATTGATAGGGTGGCTATTACCAGGAGTTTATCTGAGAGAGAGAGAAAAAGAAAAGTGTAAAGAGGAAGTTTAATATGTGGCACCACAGAACACTCTACAACTACTCCAGCAGAGCTAGCTGCCTTAAAGTTAAGCTGTCGCTGCATCTATCTATGGCATATTATTCTACGATAAACAGAGAGACTGATAATAGCTCTGTAATGAAATTCCTAGAGGTGTTAGCCAGGGTTTATCGCTTGGTTAGCCACTCCAGATATCGGTTGATGGCAATGATATGTTTAATGATTGCGTAAACACACGAAATTATGCGTACAGTCATAAACACGCATATATATACAAAGTAGTCATTCACTAACATTCGTCAGCTGTCAAATCGAGTGTTTCTCAAGAACACCAATAGAGGTGTGTTTTAGTACCCTCGTTTAATATTCGCCCATAGTTTCGTAAACGCGCGTTAAATTTACACCATTCAGTCCCATGGGACTGAGGTCCAAACCCACGAATTTGTTGTTAAGAAAGAGAAAGCCATAACTACTGCACGGCGAATAGTTGCGAGCACTGAATTGGGCGAGACAGCTATATGGGTCTTCGATTCCTCTTCTCTTTGTATTACAACTTCCCTCAAAGCCAATCGTCTTCCTTTTTTTTTTTTGTTTTTTACCTCACGCACACGCTCCACGTCGAAAAGAGATCCAAGCACCACGTAATTATACGCCCTGATCGTGACCACCGTGTAGTGTCGAATCGTGTCAAGGCCACGTCGAATGTATTTATAGCGTAACGAGCGACGCGTTACAGACGCTATACGTCTACGGTTGACCTGCCCCGAAGGGCCCGTTCTGCATCACTCGTCAAGTTTAAACGCGTTTCATGTTGATCGTAACAAACGCTCAGCTACATTTCGTGTAGAGAATCCATCGTATTTGTCAAGAAGACACATTCAAGTGTCTTTTCTGGCCCAAGTTTTCAGGCAGCCGTGCAGTTTCGCAAGCAGAACGTCGGTCCGCTATCCGCACACAAATCTTGTCTGCCGCTTTGCCAGCGATCAAGCACTCGCCCACAATTCACCCGTAGCGGCTAACTTTTAGGCCTATGCTACGATATCGTGAGCACCCTGCGTTTGAGGCACACGGAGCCAGTGAAGGAACGCGAAAAACCGTACTTGGAATCTCGGCGAAGCATTTTGTCGGCTTCGCTCCGCGCATCTACCGTCTCGATGTCAGATCGTAGCGAGTAACTCTAGTCGAATCATCTTTGGAACCCTATAGTGGTGACGTTACGATCAGCCGTTGAACCGCTGGGACGACGAGAAGCTTTGATATCGGTAGACACTCTCCGTGGACCGGGTCCTTCAGCATTCGTGTGTTCAAACTTAAAAAAAAAAAAAAAAAATCGTGGTATCCGAATAACCGAAGGAAGGTGTTCACTTACTCATCTCGTATCCTGATGGCAGGAGGCGTCGCTATATCAATTCCTACGAGCCGAAGATCTCGTTGCTACGGCACGGAGGAGGGGGACAACACAATCCGAAAAAGGCTGGCCGCTGTACCACCGCTGACGTGTGTGTTGTGGGACAAACGGGCTGGCCTGGGCGAACCGTCTGAACGGGGAGGATTCGAAACCCCTCCTTGCCCGAAACCTGTTCTCAAGTCGAGGGAGGAGGTGGGTCTCCTTGCGGAATGCCCGGGCGCTCCAGCAGGAAACGACGTCGTTGGCAGCACTGGGAAACGAAGAGTTGAGAAGACGCTCGCTGTGGTTCGCAGGTTGCGGTCGTTGTTGCATACTTCCTGGCCTGTAGCGTTCGCGGTCGCTCGCTGCAACGCATTCCTCTGAACGTGATCGCATCTCTGGACTCGCTAGTCTCCGTTGGCATCTTGTCTCATCGTCGTACGGACAAGAGTTCAAGCGCAACAACCAGTACTTTATGTTGTTGTTGTTGTAGTTGCTATCGGAGCCCACTTGCATGTTTTCGCTTTGCTGTTCACTTTGTTTCCTGATATTTATTATTATTTTTTTGCCAGTATTACGTCTTATGTTCCTCCCTGTACGTGTCACGAAGAAGACGGCTATAAGGCGTCTTGCGTAACTTCCGTACGGGGCGTCACTTGTCAAGTGGGAGATACCGTCTCCCCTTTCGTTGTGGTGAGTGGCTAAGGGGGCTTGCTTCTCAATCAGAGTCGGACCTATCGAGGCCGACTGTCCGCTGAAAATAACTCAATTCAGGTGCACCGTTGAGGCTAATTTGTTTCTGAGTATTCTAAAAATACTGTTAGTACTGGTGTTGTCACAGTCTATGTGCGGCTACAATATGAATTTTCTGGGCTGATAAGGCTGTGTATTGCAATAATAATAATAATAATAATAATAATAATAATAATAATAATAATAATAATAATAATATAATAATAATAATAATAATAATAATAATAATAATAATAAATTGTTATAACTACTTTATTATTCTCCCTATTACTACTACTACTACTACTACTACTACTGGGGGTTGACTGTAGTGCCAGTAGTAATAGTATGGTAATATAATATATGTGTAACTGGCTCGAGAGCATTTCAAAATTTTCGCTAGAATATGCAGTGTACTTAAAGTTGCGTGCAGTACATATCTCGTGCTGCTTCTTCAGCCTAAGCTAAATATCCACATAGCAGGGGCCCAATTCGTTTTGAAAAGTGCCATAGAAGACCAAAATATATTAAAAAATCAAACAAAACGTCACTTCAATTACTTTTACAACGCCATAACACCATAAACGCTCCCCTCCGCCACGTGGGCCTGTGGCGCAACGGATAACGCGTCTGACTACGGATCAGAAGATTCCAGGTTCGAATCCTGGCAGGCTCGCATCTTTTTTTTTTTTGTTTCAGATAGGTGGTTGTTATTTTATTTTACTAGCTTTGAATATTTTCCAGTTCTCTTTCGTTTTTTTTTTTCATTATCTATTATACGATGTATGAAAAAAAAAAAGCCGACGCGAAAGTTGCCACTAGTCAACGTTTGCAGTTTGAAGTTCTGTCCTTAATTAAGTGTCCGGTGGCATTGTTCTATTATATTATGAATCGGAAGATAAACGCTCTCTTAAGGAAGCTACATTTACTGAATGATTGCGACGTACAAGTTACGTAATGCACCGTTGAGAGAAATGCCCCTTATGTTACATTTTGAAAATCCCGCTTAAATAGAATGGGATCTTTCGCTGCAGCGAGCGGCGTTTCAAGTCGTGCGTCGGCAACCCTGTGGTATATTTGATTCATACAAGTTAATTGTGACTAGTGTATTGGCCATGTAACCAGTGTTGCTACAGTAACTCGCTTACAAGCGCTCAGTGGCAAACTGCCTCCGAGACTGAGGTAGCGTTCAATCTCGCAGGCCTTGAGTAGCGTGACATAGTTTGTACAGTCTCTGAAAGATGGCGCAGAAAGTGCCTTTTGGCGGCACATTTTGAACGTCGCGAATCCACCGTGAAAATGGGGAAGAAAGGGGGATCAGTGGGAGGTTCCCTGGAACATTCTGAAGCCTGTGCAGCCAACGAGAGATTTTGAGAAGACTGGTCGTGTGAAATAAGCCCCCAATACGCGATTCGTGACCTAGCCAAGACTTCATTGTCAACCAAGGTTCGTCCAATATTTTCTTTTGTATTCGTATATTAATTTTTATTGGCAAAGAATCGATTTAGCTCCTAATTTTTTGTAAGTATAATTGTTTTCTAAATTTTAAGTATTTAACTGAGTTACATGATTCACGGCCTATTGCCCGAGGTGTTTGAGCCAAAAGTTTAGGATCCACGTGTAAATCTTAGAATGAACACTTTCTGGGCCGACTTCGCGTCACAATGTTGATTCCCATCAAAGAACGAGTAAAATACAGTCTTACACGTATCTTCCTTTCCTTGGTCATCGAGTGAGTTCAGAAGGAAAAACAAAATTAAAATTCTCGCAACTGCCCCAGAATACCAGCATTTCAAAACATTACGGCCGCATGCAAGTTGAAGTGAGTACAACAAAACTCAGTACATTTTGAGTTTATATTTGCATTTTATTTGAAAGTTATTTACGTGGTCCTCCTTGCGCACTGTTTTGCTTCGAGATTGTGCTGAAGCGTACGCGATTTATAAAAAACAAAACAAAAGAACGCCGTAGTTTGAAAGAAGTTTTATTGAAAAGGCAATTATTAATTTTTTAAACTTTAATTTTAGTCAAGCACATTGTCGACCATTGTGCGAAAAAAACATTTTCTTTTATTTTGGTACAGTTATAACTGTATCAAATGTGGCCTACTCAGCTGGTTATCTCTTACAAACCTTTAATATGGTGCCCTACAAAAAAAAAGGAAGGCACATTTATTTCTGTCATTCATAGCGAGGGTCTCGTTCTGGCAGACTTAGTGCCGTCAAGTATTATACGAGGGATTATCGGTCAGCTGCCAGCTCGTTATAAGGTCACGTGACACCAAACAGGCTGATAAAGAGTGTCGCGCACTCTTCTCATTGGCAAGAGGCGGCGCCGACTGATACTCCCTCTTCTAAATGCACGCATAAATCCCATAAAGTGGGCACGAGGATAACCGCTGTGGAAGCTCAGTTGGTAGTGCATTGGTCGCGTTATTCGAAGATCGCAGATGCGGACCCTGCCCACGGCAAGTTGTGCCTTCCAATTTACGCTACAATCACTTCTATAACATCCCTTATACTTTCCCTGCCACGATCGTCTGTTTTATACATCGCCTTAATATGGTGTCTAACGAAGAAAATGAACCCTTAAAGGTACTGAGACTGTTAGAAGAACCTCTCCGTAGGTTGGCTCTAAATTTATCCCTTCCGGTGGTCCTTTCCTTTGGGGCAACTGAAAAGGGAGTCAGCCACAGGAACGTTTGCGAAGCCGTATGCGATTTTCTAAAGGTGACAAAACGAATAGAATGTTAAGCTGAGGCATAAACTCACTTTATTTCAAACCATGTTAGCTTGTTCGTTTTTTTTGAATTACCTTGATTTATTTTATTTCTAATGTATCGCTTACCGATTGGTTCTTTGTTTAAACATACTTATCTAAATAATCCGGCTTGTAAAACAATACCATCTCACAAAAGAGGCACCGTCCGTTTCATGGCCGATCCCCCGTGGTGGGTTGCGCCATGCAGGACCCTGAGGAGCAACCAACCAACCCGACGTGGGAGCGGCCCGCTACGGGCTAGTTCACGCCCCGACGGACCTAACCATAACCACAAAGCATCCACTCCAAAAGAGCAAATTCCCAGCCTTGTTGCGTGGTACGGCAATGTTTGCCTTTCGATCTTCCCGGCAATCCCGCAGCGACGGCCGCTCGAATTTGATGAAGGTTGGCTTGTTCAAAAAGGCTGATGCTGTCCGAATCTGTTTATTTGCTTTTTGCATGAACGTGCGAGCTGCGCACACATGGTTTTAAAGAATCACGCGTTCAAAGGTCTTGTGTTGCATACATTTAATAACAATCTGTTTCGGAAAACATCACTCCTGAAATAATCATTGATATCTTCTGCAATTTATTATGGGGTCTCCTGTAATTTTACAAATAATGTTTATTTTTTGTGTGGCCTTTTCGCTGTTGAAGAGATTGATTTGGCATTGAAATGTCTTGAACAAAAACACCTGGTCAAGATGATTTCACAGCTGAATTTTACAAGAGGTTTTTAGAGAAAAAGTACGTCCCATTCTCTTGGAAGTTTTCAGGTTACCGCCCAATTTTCACCGTGGTCCAGACAGATTAGCTGATGCCGTTTGATCACTTTTTATTTATTGAACATATTTTGCGTGTAGACGGTATCCGTCATATTGTGAAATCGAAACTAACTACGCTAAATGGAAATCGAGTTAGCCTCTTCAGAAGGGGTGAAGGCGCTTTCCAAGAAGAGCGATCCATTGATCGAGGCGACGCTGTTTGCGCTCACTACTTGCATTCCGAGTCGCCTGCAAACAAAAGAAGAAAGCTAATAAACCTAAATGTCGCAAGAGCTACCAATGCAGCCTAGTACACGTTTAGACGAATGGAAAACAATCTCAACAATGTTTTCAGTGCAGCAAGTTAAGGCAGTCGGTATAAAATCCATTGTTAATTGTTTACAAAAACTACCTATAAGACTCAAACACACAGTAAGATAAGCAGCTTTTGTATACGTGTCCCAAACTTCCTCTTAGCTGGCGTCTCCGTCTATGTGCTATATTTAAAATAGCGGTGTTTACTCGGTGCCTGAAATTAACTAAGACAGTACACATTTTCTTTTGTTTCTCCACCTTGGCACACCGCATTGGAGGCCGCGGTGTCCCAAGGGGTCCCCGTTGACCTCCTCTAAGCAGCGTAACTGACCTCTCGGCCGGTCCCCTCTTTTGGGAGTAATAAAGTTTTGATCATCATCATCATCCCCTGTAGTGCTATTTTCTTGAAAGCTATTAAAATCGCATGACTTCGGCTCGACTGAGAGGTCTAATGCTATACTTAGAGTTGCGTTCGACTCAAGTGGCATTACTACATGCAAACCGTACGTAAAGCCTCTCGCTTTACGTATGGGTGGCGGCGTGATGGTAGTGTGTAGAGTACCTATAGGCTGCAACGGCTAGCTTATGATATAGGTTGGATTAGAATAGACTAAGCGACGAAGGGACAGTAATTTTATTATAGCGGTAGCCTTACTCGTGTGTCAGAGCTCTCTTCGCATAGCTATGGAAATCCGTATCATCTTGCTAATCGAGGTGGGTAGAAAGCTGTCAGGTAACCAGAGCGATTTGCGGGAGAACCGAGCTAAAAAAAAAAAAACGGGCACAGCGAAAATTCGAATAGAAGAGGGCAAGCAGAATCTCCTTTCATGCCTCCTCCTTCGCCTCAAAGGCTTCTTTTATAATGTAGTTTTCGAGTTAGCTGCCGAGATTTATGCAAAGCCCTCTTGAAGTCTTCGTCAAGAGCTTAACTTGTATCGTTTGTGCAATGTTTGGCCTGCTTTTCTTGCCCGGTTTTTCTTTTTCGTGCTTTATTATAGCTGCTGAGATCCAGAACTTGGCGTTACCAGATTTCGACGATGACAGTTCATCAATCAATAAATCAATTAATCAATCAATTAGGTATATGCATCTCAAGTAATCACCTCAAGTACGTATATACGCATTAAATAAGGGATTCCCGTGGGCGAATTCTTCTAGAGAGAACTTTGTGAATAGGTGCATAAATGTGAACAGGAAAATGGTGGAGCGCTTAGGCTTCGAGCCCACGGAGTGTTCCAGACATTCAGCTAGCATACCTAAATCAACTAGGGCGAGGCTAAAAATTACGCCGCTGCCGAAAAAACATGCATCCGGAGTTCCACGAAGGCAGACACAAAGCTAGAGCTGTAGCCCTGCAGGCGAAACGTGAAGGTCGATCTGGCGTGCTTTACACGGACGCTGCAGGATACGAAAGACGGGGAGCACACACAGCGGTAGTTGTCCGCGAGAGCGGGGACCTGGTCTCGTGCTGCACTTCTAAGAACACAACCACCACAGAGAGCAGAAGAATTTGCTATTGCTTTGGCAATAGCAGAAACTCTCCTCCCTATTATGTCGATGTATGGGACAGGCTGTGCACCCTCATAGGTTACCAGGGTTGCCGGCCTCCCTCCTGCCCTTTCCCGAAGACACGCCTATGCCCATAAACATATTGCTGCAAACGAGCTACAAGTGGCAGTGTTGCCGAATGCGCACCTTGGAGTCGACCACGGTGGCACAGGCGTCCGATCGCTGGTCGTTCATGTCGGCGATGAGCGACCACGTGTTGGTGGCTGGATCGCATCGTTCGGCCGTGTTTGTCCGCCGATCGCCGTCGTAGCCGCCCAGCGCGTAGATTTTGCCGTCCAGCACCGCCACGCTGACGTAGCACCTGGCCGTGTGCCTACAGATTCGCTCCGTCCATCGATGTTGAAGCTGCAGCGATAGTCTCTCTCTCATCCCTTATCGAACACACAATGCCTTAAGAACAGAAACACCAATGCGGCCAGGTTTTTTTTCTTTTCTTTTCACGATCTCTCGCGTACGTGGCCTCTCTGTAAAGCAGTCAGACTGTGTTGTCGATTCGATCAATACACATTACCGAAATACGCAGGGCAAATGGCTCTACTATGTTTCGCCAATCAACCAAATCACGTGCTTGGTACGGTCACGTTGTCACTACAGGCCACCCCCTGCACTTTCTAGTGCACGGGCATGCCTGTGGCCCCAAACATACACTGCGTTAAAGTACACTGCGTTTATGGCTATATAGGCGTGCCCGCGTTCGTCGCCCCCGCTTTCGCGCTTTCACACGCGAACGCTATCAGTTTGGAATTTTCACTTTCAATTTGGAATGCCGATTGCGAAAACCCAGCGAGAGTATCCACAGAGTTTTCTCGGGTGTCGGTATACGCTGTTACAATATGATTCCCTCGCTGCAGGGGCTCTCTGAACGTTCGTCAGCGGGGGTTGAGCGCACACACACGCACACATCAGAGAGAGAGAGAGAGAGAGAGAGAGAGAGAGAGAGAGAGAGAGAGAGAGAGAGGGCCGAGTTACAGACAGACACACACACAGAGAGAGATCAAGAAGCTTGCGGCGATAACGTGGCTCTATATACCAAGCACGGGACTCGGGTGATTGGCGAAACATGGGAGAGCCTTTTGCCCTGCAGTGGCATAGTTAGGCTTACGATGATACGTTATCTAGAGATGCTATCTTGTGGGGGTGCTTGAATAGGTTCGTGCAATAAGGCACCATGTATAAGGGCCCAACTCGACCATTCAGAAGTACGCGCTCAGTTTCCAGCCAGTACTCCTGGCCGCTTCGTGCGAATGCTGTTTGGTACTTGTGAAACCAGCACGTACCGGGTTGAAACATCGAACGCAGTTGAAGCACTGCGACCTATCTGAACCTCCTATCAGATAGACGAGGCCGTCCAGGACGACGAGTTCGTGGTGGTAGACCTGGGGCATGATGTCCCTGTCGTTGGGAAATATCAGCCACCGGTTAGAGCGGCAGCCGTACCGCTCGACGAGATTCGCTGCTGTGTCACAACCCCAGCCACCAATTACGAACAGAAGGTCCCTGCAAAGTATTCCATCACCCGATATTGACTGTCTGAGTACGGTAGAATAAGTCCACAAACCTTCGCCGAGATATTGCTGGTTAGTATTAGTTCGTATTCGAAGGATTGGCGTAAAACAATTTTACAAATTACAGTTTCATCGCTAGAGCCGGCTAATGAATGCGATAGCAATAATAAAGTTGAGCGAAGTAACGCTGGCAACCGACTTTTTTAGGTCCAGTCGCATGCGACTACAAGGTAGGTAGGTAAGCAACTTTATTGATCCATGGTAGAATCGTGTGAGGGGGGGTGGCAGGGGAAGTGGAAGCAGGATCACGATGGGCCCTCGGGTCGCTCTTGGTGGCCGGACACTGCTGTGCTTCGGCGACTCTTCTGGCCCAGCTCACTGTCCGGAACTGTAACCCCGGTTTCGAGCTGTGCAGAGGAGCCTGCCATCGCTCCTGGAGTTCTGACTCTTGCCACGGGGGCTTAGGTTTGTTCAGACAATGTAGAGCTAAGTGATGGAAGTTGGCTCTGGTGCTAGGGCATAAGTTGCAATGAGGAGAGGTTTCGCCATGCGTGAAAAGGGAGAGAAGAAACAGTCACTGTGGCCTCAAGTCTGCGCTACAAAACCTGGTCACTTCTGGGAAGAGATTTATGCGGTGGGGGGTACGTTAGGTGGGAATTTCGGTAACTACAAAACACTGATGTAAGACAACACAACCGATCCAGGGAGAGAAACTTATTTCGTACAGACTCTTCGCATTTAGAGGGAAGTACGCAGGATATACTGACCGTCTTGATGCCTGCCGAGACAGCGCGTGCGCCAGCGGTCGCTACGCCCTTCGAATCGATTAAGTTCGCAGTTGCTGTACAAGCGATCCCCTCTTGCCTAACCGCGTACTTTCGTGCTCAATTAAGACAAATCGGCGTATTGCTTCTGCTTGAGCACCAGTCGAAGACACGCTTAGAACGTGGAGAGATGTAATCGTGTGCGAAGTCTGAGCGACGCAGATGGGCCCGTTCATTTGATATCTGCATTAGCCGCGTTAGTCGGCCCCACTAGCGTGCTTTCGCAGGGGAATGTTGTCGATTTGGAATTTTAACGAACACGACGGCGACGCCGATGGCGAAAACCCAACGAGAGTATTCATATAGTTAGCGTTATAATTAAAGCAACAAACGACAAGCTTTATCATTAAACAGTCCGTTGTCTGAGCACAATTATTTGTTCTTGAACATCCGCTGTGGTACCAAGCATTTGTTATCGGTTGATCTCGTGCTTTTTTTTTGGGGAGGGGGGGTTACAACTTCCGATACCTGTTTTATGCCGATTACAATCAGTTATACTGCCGCCAATCAGAGCCGACATTAATTCGCGACCATGCATTACTGGATGTAATCACAAGGATGTTGCGTTCACGTGTCGGTCGCAGCTATAGTATAGTTGGTTTTGGTTATTGCATGTAACGTCGTACTGACGATAACGACTCGGTCGAAAATAGATAACGTTAGCAGTGCGATTCAGTTGGTCTCTCATCTCGTCCGCGTTCCGATCGCTAGTGTAATGCTACATAGATATGCGTTTGCGTTCGGACATTATCACTAGACTGAAGAGTACCTTTGAATCACGCAGTGGCCCAGGCAACTATCAGTTACTGAAAAGACACTCGGCTCTCTTTGGACCGAAAGGACTGCAACATTTTCTCGCGTCACCATTTCACTGTCAAGTTCGTACTTGCCTTGGGATCCTGGGCCTTAGCATGGGATGCGTGAGGTTGATCATCCTCGGACCTTCGTGGATCTCCAGCTGGTCCAGAAGTCCGTAGACAGGCTCAAGTACGGCGTGGCAGTCAACGTCACCGAGCATGGGATGCGGAAGCACTTCCTCATGAAGGAAGGACACTTTGCAGAGCCCGAATCTGTTTCAGCGGGATAAATGTGAAGCCGTACCAACATACTCTGAAATTGCTGTGCAAGTTCAAGAACGACTGGACTGAAGAACTTTTCGCTAACGGCAATTCCATCGCTAACCCCCTAACGCAGCGCATAATATCAAAGACGCTTGCTGATGAGGAAACACAGAATTATGAACGGACCGCTTGTTCCCTCTCCTGCAAGAGTTTGACAATGCGCGAATTCCTTACAAAAATGAGCAGTCTATCTCAGGGCAGATTCGCCCTGGCCTGCCATTCGTTCGCTAAGGACTGCTACACCTTCGCAGTAACCCTGATTAGAATAGTAAGTTGTGGCTTGCGATTGAGTATCGTGTGTTTGAAACGCATTATTTTGCTTTTAAAGGACAGCAAGTAAATGCTACTCGCATTTCATTATCAGATTTGTTAGTGACCGTTATGTATGATAGCCTCATTTGTTTCCGTCGCACGCGAGGGAAATTTTTTTCTCTCGAGGGGCTCTTTTATTCGTGACATCCAAGGGAATCCAACAGTGAAGCCAACAGCAGTTTAGTGATTACGATTCTGTTGAAAACAGATAATACCCTTTTTGCTCTTCTTAGCTTTATTGTCTGTTGGATTTATTCCAATAATCAGATGTAACTCGGAGGCTTTTCGCGCTTATAGGTGTCCCTTTTCATTGACTGAACAGCCTTCGCTAATGATATGCGTAGCGTCTGGATTGGTTGGAATATTGCCACAAGAATAATTCTATGGCTTGTGGGTACATGGTGCATACTGGTGGGCCTCTATAATAAGGGCGTGATTCAGGCCGGCGCAAAGATTTTTGGAATACCGCAATGGGTGGGATAGAAAGGAGTTGGGGCAAGTCTTGCTGGGGCGGCCCCCTATAAGCCCAGCTGCGCCAACCCTGACGAAATTAAAAGTGAACGTGTAAAAAAAAAACTGAAATCCGCCACCTCACCTTATAGCGCTTTGAAAACTTGTTAAGAAGAGATGCCTGCTTGGCGCACCAGCTGAGGTCGACTTTATAGTCACCGAAAACGCCTTGGCTTCGTCGGCAACGTTGAGGTCGTCAGAGCTTAGCAGAGCCTTCAGATCATCGTAGGAGCTACGGAGCAAATCCTGGTAGGCCTTCGCGACCTGCTGAGGAGGAATATACATCCAACATGAATATCTTCGACAAGTTAGGTGCTCCGACATTTCAGTGTTTAAATGTGCTTAATTGAAGCACAACCAACCATAACAAAAAAACAATAGAAGAACTAAGCATTAGGAACTAATGCAGCATAACTACGTGGAACTAATGCAGCATAACTGATTAAATCTAGTGATGCCGCAGTAATCTTCTTGCTCTTCGTCTATAATCAACCATGAAACCTATAGGAAGCGTGACATCATAATCTCTCGGTCACCACGCTGGTGGTTCAACACGGTGGTTCACTGATTTCATTGCATTAGATGGAAGGCGCGGACGCCGTTTGAGGGCGGGCATATCGATCACATTATGCAAACATCCTTCCCAATTCTGAACTTGTACCTTGAACCGCTGCGCCGAGAGGAGCATGCTGAGCACGTTGTCGCTGTTCAGCGTCACCCTGTTGGTGTACACGTACTCGAGCAGGGCGGCCATGACGTCACCGGGCACACCGGCCACGGCGATGTTGGTCACCTCGCCGGCCTCTGTCGGCGCAGCGGACTGATGCCCCTGATTCGTCGTCGATATGGCGGCGTCAACCATTTCTGCAGGCGCAATCGCCACTGCAGCTCCTGGTTTGACAGCGGGGACTTTGATCGTGCAGGGCGGGCTCGTTAGGTTTCCCCCCGGCGACGTCTCTCGAAACAGCGGGCAGGTGGCGTACAGGAGCACCAGGTGCACCGGGAACTGGCTGCCGTCGTCGCTGCATGTGACCTCGGCGTCGGCGTACAACCTTCGCCGCCGGAGGTCTTCGTGCACGCTGGCCCTGCCCTGCGAGTACACGTCGGCCATGCTAAGCAGGCTCTGCCATGACATCGCTGCCGCTTGCACGTCGTTATGGTACGCTCGTTATGGAACGTCGTTATGGAACGTCGTTATGGAACGTCGTTATGGAACACGAGCTCGGGGAAGTTGATGATGATGATGATGATGATCCTTGACACTCTGGCGCACACCCACAAAGGGGGATCGGCCAAGAACCGGGCGGCAGGATCTTAACTAAAAGGCTAATGGTTTTTCAAAGAAAACGTAATTTTGGGCTAAAAAAATATAGAAAGGAAAGCCGAAAATCGAAAAAGGAGTATATCTGAGCAGGGAGCGATGCAGGCCATCAGATGCGATATATATATATATATATATATATATATATATATATATATATATATATATATATATATATATATATATATATATATATATATATATATATATATATATATATATATATATATATATATATATAGACCCACCATTACCTCTGTCTCGGGGAAGTGAAGACTTCGCTGGTGCGACGTTTTTTCTTCTCTCGCGCGCTGCCCGTCGTGCACGTTTCCCGCTTCTTTTTCTTCTCGACCTCCACACGTGGCACACACCCATGGCACATCCCCCAAAGTGGGTACGTGTCATGTATCCAGGAAAGCAAAGCAAAGCAAAGGCCATTCAATGCTCGGGATTGGAAAAGTAGAATAATTCTTCCCATATTTTCTGCATTTTGTAATGGTAAGTTGATTACTACGATTACTAGATGAAGTGCGAGCTACTAGAAATGAAATTTGCAATTCGTGCAGAATTTAGCAAGAGATTCCTCTGGCCAACATGGTTGCTTCGTTCTTCTCGTTTTTTTGGCCCGTCCAAATGTGAGCCTCCTCATCTTCGTTATCACAATATCTCGCGCAATCTTTAAATAAAGCCTGGTATATGAAACGCGTTATCTAGATGCCTGTGCCCTATTTTTATTTCCACATTTGTAGCTTGGTGGCATGATCTATTTGATAAGTTATGCCAAGTGCCTTGAAACATTGATCATGTTTTACTTACTAGCCGTTGCATCACTAGCCACAGAAAAAAGAATTGCGGAATATTACTCGGAACGTAAAAATTACTCTGATTTCTAAAAATATTGTTTCCTTTGGGGCATCTTCGCTGGGCCCCAGCAACAATAACATTTGTTTATCCATACGTGAATATTTTAGTGATACAGGAATAATTCATTGGTAATTTATTCTCAACGAAAATTTGGAATTCTGAATGTTTCTCAATAGTCGATTCCTTTAGACTTCTTTCATTAGCCTCACGAAAAAGCTGGCCTGCTGTAGCAAGTGTTTCTAAATGCTTGCTCCAATAAAAAAAAAAAAAAACACGAAGAGCGGCCCAAGAAAAAGATATTAAAACAAAACGCGGCTTCTAAAGCATCAGTATACGCGCAGCTAAAGTGGGGCTATATAAAACTAAAATGCGTTATTGTGCACATTTTGTATGACTGTACGCAGTGCCACCTTTTTCTGTGCATAAACGCGCATCATGCACTCGGCATTTTTATCTACACAGGTCTGGTCTGGCACAGCCTCCACTATGGCTCCATTGCAACAAAAGTGAATCCCTTCATCATTTCCTATTAACATGCAGGTTATATACAAATAAAAGGAAGAGACTGTTAGAAGAACCTCTCCGTATAGATTGGCTCTAAATTTATCTCTTCCGGGGGTCCTTCCCTTTGGAGCAATTGAAAAGGGATTTAGCCTCAGGAAAGTTTGCGAGGCCATATGCGATTTTCTAATGAACACAAAACGAAATAGAATGTTAAGCTGAGGCTTAACTTTATTTCAAACCATATTAGCTTGAAAATAATTCGATCTCACAAATGAGGCACCATTCTTTTCATGGCCGATCCCCCGTGGTGGGTTGCGCCAGGAATCTGAGGAACCAACCAACGTGTAGGCATGTGTGCCGCTTGAAATTGGGGTGCTTCGGTCGAGTATAAGAAGCAAAATAAAGGGGGGGGGGGGAGGAATAGTAGCCACAGGCTCTTCAAGTGTACTGCAGCATTATGTGGGCATTGAACATTCCAGAGCAAGCAAATAAATTTCAGCAGGCATTCGGCTCGGTGGAAGCGGAGGGCGAACGAAGATGTTTACCACACAACTTAGAAACACGGACTTGACGCACCATTTCAGTTAATAGTTGATTAAACAACCTCCAACGAAACCGGTATAATGTCTAATGTCTATTCAGGAAGATTGATTGCTGTTTACCGCGTGTATGTTTCTTGTCTTCATTTTAGTAGACCAGTCATGGGCACTGGGACGTGCTAATTTTCTGTGACAATGCATAAATACAATGGACTAAGGAGAAGACGAAGAAGCCTATAGAGCCTTTGTTTTAGGGCCATCATCATCATCGTCGTCGTCGTCATCATCATCCTCATCCTTCCAGTTATCCTAAACTAGCTGTAACTTCAGAAACTGCCCTAAACTTTTGTGTCTTGGTTTTGGAATGATTGCCAGCGGGTTGTATTTGGTGCATTTTGCAATTTTCTTCAAGCGGCGAAATGTAACGTCGTGCAGCCGAGTGCGCCTCCTCGTTCGGTCCGAGCAAGGCACCTTCACTGGTTCCGGTGTGCACAAGAAACCAGACCAATGAGTGGTTTTTTTTGAGGTTTTTAGTTTCTTCAAGTATCCGTACGACTTGTGGAGTCACTACGCCTAACCGAAATGCCTTGACAACGGCCTTGGAGTCTGAATAAATTGTCACGTACACCGCCCATCGATACAAGAGCAATGGCAACCTGCTCCGCAACGCTGGAGCAAGAAGTGCGGATGGTAACACACCTTATACGCATTTCTCCATTTTTATTTCGTTTTAAGCTAGGTTCTGATATAGGTTAATATCTATTACTAATACAAAAACTTTATAGTTAGTACGGATCAGTGATAATCAAAATTACATTCTAAAAGCTGTAACGTTTTCAATTTGTAGGTTCCTTCACTCTAAAATAGAATAATACTTTAAAAGATCACTCAATTATTGGCTGATCCCCCACAGTGGGTATGAGCCACAAGTAAAGGGCAACAAGAACAAGTACTCTGGAATCGCAGTAGACGACAAGGTTGCCAGATTTGGCTACTTCCCACCAGATTGGCTACTTTTGAAAGGCCGTAGCGACAAAAAAAATTGACGTTGGCTACTTTTTGGCTATTGTTCTATTGATGGCACGAACAGCTAAGATATGTCAAAAATCTAGCGCAACCATATCAAAAGGTAATTCATACTGCCAGCTGCGGTTCTCATGATGCGATCGCAGTGATTTTTTTTTCACTCAGTATACCTGAAGCAGTTGCGTGCGCCCGAAACGCGACCCGGCCGTCATGATTTCGACATTATTAATGGAGTTCGGCATCAATGTAACATTGCTGGGGGGGGGGGGGGGGGGTCTCGTTTAGGTTTTCTAGCCGCTATCCACCTCACGCGCTAATTTTCTGAGCTGTGTAGGAGGCGCCACCTTAGGCGAAAGTTAGCGAAAAGTGGATATGTGCACGCTCGTAGAAGCTTTGGGCAAAGCGCAGTTATGTTTTATTGTGGTTTAATGTTTTTCACTGCCGACGCTGCTGCACTTGTCAGCCATGACGTTTGTTATGTCGATTGTTCTATTTTTTTGTTTGTAATGACAGGCTAACTTTTTTATCATTTTGGGCGCGCGTGATGCACTACATTCGTTTCTCACGTCTGAGCTGTTGTTTGTGGAATATGTCAACACATACGCAAAAAAAGAGAAACATTTGCATGCAAAGAGCCCAGCTGGTCTTGTTTTTCCAGTGAATTGATAGCTGCAAACTGCACATCGAGTCATCCGTTATGGGGCTGAATGTGATGAACGCTTTGGAAACACTGCCAAGAGACGTATTTGGTTGCCTCCAGCCCGTATTGAGGAGCAAGTCTACTGGCACCTTCGTCAAGTCGAGGATGTGACTGCCGACATGCCAGCGATGAAATTGTGTATCGAAATATAAATCTACGTTGATGCATCAGATGCTACTACCATGCAAGGCGATGCAGGCAGGACAATAAAACTTTTATTAGTTTTCTCTAAATCTGACTCGGAAGTGAAGGGAGTGATTTTTTCGTGCTCCTTACACAAGGCGACTTGGGGAATCGAATGTCGCACGAACTTCTCGCTATCATCTGAATACCATTCGGTCTACGTCTAAACGGTGTTACAAGTCCTACATTAACGCGAAATACGAAGTACTTTGCTCACCTTACACCAGCAGTGCCGCGGGGCATGATAGCAAAAGTGAACTCGGTACAGGTTTTCGAAGGACATGGCAAGAAATATGCACGACGTCGTTACTCTCTATATATGGAGGACACCTCCACAACACCGCGCGCAGGATAGGGGAATGGGACTGAAAGAAATTGGAATGGAAAAAATGCTCCCACCTCCCCGAAGAAAATGAGGAAATGCGAACGCATTTTTTTTTTTGCGCCGAGAGGGGACCCCGTTGCCGTCAGACATTCGCCTTCACCGACTTGTGCCTGAGGTGCCCAGCCAGCGAACCGTCGAGAGTGAAGAGCGAGGGGACGGGAGAGTGGGGCGCCAACGTTCTCGGCTCGGCAATGGCGTTCCACAGCGGCGTCTCGAGCACATATTTCCTGATGTGTTGAGAGGTGCCCAGCCAGCGAACCGTCGAGAGTGAGCCGCGAGTGGACTGGAGAGTGGGTGCAGGGAGGAAAGAGAGCGAACGGCGAGAGGAGCGGCGAAGCACTGCATCTACAACTCTCCTACACTCTCGCACTAAATGCTCTGGTTGCTAGGGGCGAGGATAAGCGCGCGCGCCTGCAGCTGTTGCTAAGGGAGAGCGAGTGAGAGCGGAGAGATAACACCTGCCGGCGCGCAGGCACCGCCGCGGACAACGCCGGATGCCTGACATTTCCCGGCTAAGAATTGCATTCGCATCTACAAATAAAAAAATTGGCTCAAGCAATTAGATGACGCGTCTCGTGTACCAGGCTTAAGAGCATGCGTGAGACAGTAACACGACGAAGATGAGGAGGCCCACACTTCGACGAGCCAAGGGACGAAAAATAAAAACGAAGCAACCGCGGGGGCCAGAAGAATCTTTCTGAATTCTGTGAGCATTACATGTTTCATTACATGTAATTGACACTTCAAATGAGTAATCAATGAACTAGCAGGCCTAGGAAGTCAACAAGAATTCACGTATTATTTCAGGAATTCATCTTTTACTCTGTCGATCCGCTGCAATGGGTGTGTGCTTCGTGCGGAGGTCAAGTAGAAAAAAAAGAAGAAAGGAAAAACGACCACCAGGGGCAGCGCACGCGGGGAAAAGGACAGTCGCTCGGAGGGTCGGTTTACCGGGGTCGTGTTGCAGCGGACCGCGACGACGCCCTAGCGGCTGCGACGTCGTGGCAGAGCCTGCATAGCATGGCCGACGTCTACTCGAAGGGCATGGTCAGCGCGCTGGAAGACCTCCGGCGGCGAAAGTTGTTCACCGACGCCGAGGTCGTATGCAGCGACGATGGCAGCCAGTTTCCGGTGCATCTCGTGCTCCTGTACGCCGCCTGCCCGCTGTTTCGAGAGACGTCCCCGGAAGAAAACCAACCGGGCACGGCCTACACGATCCAAGTCGCCGCCGTCACACCAGGGGTGGCGGCGGCCATAGCGCCCGCGGACGATGTGGGCGCGGCCATTGCGTCGACGAAGCAGGGGCAGCAGTCCGCTGCGCCGACAGAGGCCGGCGAGGTGACCAACATCACCGTGGCCGGTGTGCGCGGTGACGTCATGGCCGCCCTGCTCGAGTACGTCTACACCAACAGGGTGACGCTGAACAGCGAGAACGTGCTCAGCATGCTCCTGGTGGCGCAGCGGTTCAAGGTACGCGTTCAGTGTTGGAAAGGGCGTTTTCATACAGTGTGATCGATTCACCCGCCCCCAAATTGTGGCCGTGCCCACTATATATGCAAAGCACTGATGTCGTTCAACCCACCAAGTCGAAGCACCAAGGTGGTGACTCCGAGTTCGTGATGCCACGTTTTTTGTCCGGTAGTGTCTACATTACCGGCTGCCGGCAGATTATATCAGTCTACTGAATGCTGGCAGTTCTTTCCGCCAGGTATTTCCTTTGTCTACTATACATGTGACGCTATGATGAATCGGTGACGTGGCCTGGCTCATACCCCATGTTTATTCCATTCTCTCACTTCTTCCTTCTCTGCCTCTACCGACCATCGCTTCATACGTCACATACACATATTACATAGTCCATATAGTACCTGTGTAAAGACAAGCCTAGGTTGTTGCTGTGTCGGGCCATTTCGTTCAGTTTTGGTTTCTGTTTCAAATGTTATGTGGCGCCTCGTGTGGCAGTGTTTTGTACCAAATGTATATATTAAATAAATGCGTTGGTGATAGAACCTGTTGGGAGAAGGACGTGCTACTTCTCGCTGCGCTGCGCGCCGAAGTCGTGGGTGGCTGCCGCCGGCGGTGTCGGTCTGCTGCGGCCTCCGTTCTTCTTCGTCGGCGTCGCGGCCACAGCCAACCCCGACACAACAGTTGTCCTTATGTTAAGACCATAGAGTTTCCCAATATACACTAGAGGGAACTCTGGCGCTAGTGTCTATGGGAGCTGCAACGCACGGCGCTTCAGCGAGCATGGGAATGATGGGTAGTACCACATTTGTCTAATATTCGTACTTCTGGCCAGCTTTTGGCTCCGTGTGTGTTCGTGTGGCTTAAAGCTGTTTTCTCACGAAACAAGAATCGGCAAACACTCAGCAAATTGCGCTTCACCACCCAATTTTTTTCAAATTACTTTTCCAAATCGGGTCATGAAGTTCAAAAGGGTTGAATTTTTCTTTCAAAAGAAAATCGAAACACAGCAATAAACAAAGCAGCAAGTACGATTCGCCGCCCGCAAGTACGAAGACTAGGCAAATGTGTGTACTACCCATCGTTCCCATGGTCGCTGAACGATCGCAGCGCCAGAGTGCCCTCTAGTTAATTTTGAGAAACTCTATGGTAAAGACAAGCTGACTACCATTAACGTACTTTTAATTCTGACGCGTGAGGGCGTGGCCACACGTACGCGTCGCAGCGCGTCGGCACGTGTCGTGTAGATTCGGCGTCACGCCCGCTTCCTATGGAGGGACACGAAGATGCTACGTGTCCTCTCTACATACGGAGAGGGTGTCGCGCCGATCTCGTAATCCGCGCCTTGACGCGTTGCAACGCGTACATGTGGCCAGGCCTTGATGTTGTCGTAGCAGCGTCCCAAACGCTTGCAAAAACACTTTATCGCTGCCTTTCTATTTCTGTTTTCACCGTTGCAGATTGAAAGAATTGTTCAAAAATGTCACGAGTTCCTTTCCAAAGACATCAGCGTAGCCAACTGCGTCCGCATATTGGAGTTCGCAAAGGAACACAAGCACCCCAGCCTCGTCGACATGGCCCTAAATTTTATTTCCGGAAATTTCGACGAGGTATGAACTAAAATATGAACGAGATATTTAGCTGTGAGCTTGTTTGTCGAAGGTTTTTTTAATTTTACCAGGCGCAAGTCCATTGTCGCGCTCTCTACATTTTTTTCTTCTTTTACTGTTCTTGGTTGAGCCTTTATTAAGCGCATTAAAGCCCTGAAATATTGGCCCTCTTAGCCCGTAGAACGTATTCAGTTGAACGCATATTGTTTCTCGACAGGTCGCTACGACCAACCAAGATTTCGTCCGTATCTCCTACGACGATCTGAAGGCTCTGCTAAGCTCCGACGACCTCAACGTTGCCGACGAAGGCAAGGCGTTTTCAGCCGCTATAAAGTGGACTTCAGCTGATGTGCCGAACAGGCATCGCTTCTTACCAAGTCTTCTAAGCGCCGTAAGGTGAGCTGGGGAGTTCCAGTTTCCCACACGTCCACTTGTCATGGGTGGCTCATGGGACGGGGACGAGGGGGGAAGAGGCCGCTTCACCAAAATATGCGAATCACCCCTCTCCGAGTCGTACAATCCTCGTGCCGCCCTGAATCACACCGTGATTGTCGGGCCCCAGCTGTAGACACAATGAACCCTCGTGCCACAGAATTATTCTCGGAAGAATGGTCCAACTGATCCTGACGCTGGACATCGCATTAGAAAAGGCTGCCCAACTAATTGGAAGGCCTAAGCTCAAGACGCTCCGCAAAGTCTGGTCGTGAATCTGTGTGTTACGTGTGACCATTGAAGTGGACCAACAGATAATGAAGCCTCTAATTGAATTGTAGTTGGTAAACGTTTGTTAACTTACCTGCTTAGCGTAAGAGTGTTGCTTGTGGGGCAAGTTGGTACGTACTTAAACACGAATAAAGCAACTAACACGTCGAAGAAAAAACAACAACTGAGAGACAGATGCAGAGACTGCGCATATGGGACGTGTGGTGTATAGCACGCCGCTTGATTGCGATAGCAAGTACACTGGACAACCTGGTCGATACATTAACGTTCGTTCCCGGGTGGATGAAAATCTTCTACCCTCTGGCACTGGTGGTGACCGTCCGCTAAATTGCAAGCATGCAGTGTGGTTGCATGCCCATGTTTGGAAAAGTATCCATCGTAGGTAAAGCTAGCACTCAACGTGAAAAAGAATTGCTTGAGGCGGACCATTGTTTCGAAACTTGGGCCGGAAAAAATCCTGTAAGCGCTGCCTCTTTGTTTTTGACCCGGAAAGAGTGCGCCTTCCTTAGAAGAGTGGTGATTTGCATGTATTAAGGTAGGCGCAGTGCCTCTTTTGCGAGTGCTCTGTGCGGACTTGGGAGGAAGCGTTCTTTTGAAATAAACTTAGCTCAACTATGTGTTCGACCTCCTTGTGCCTTTCGAACAAAAAAAAAAGAGAAAAATCTTCTTGGAAAAAAAAATTCTCGCGTGTGACGAATGGATTATGTGGCTTTCGTTCATAACGGTCGATAACAAGCGCACATTTTACAATAAAATGCGAGTAACAATAACTTTCCGTCCTCTAAAAGCCGAATACTAGTGTCATGTTGCAAATGCACGATACTCACTCACAAGGGGCTATTTACAAATATAATAGGGGTTGCTATATGAACTTATAGCAGTCCTCATGAATCTAAAGGCGGACCAGGACGAACTCTTTCTCAGCTGGGAAGTTCATGTTTCTGAAAAATTCGTGCTGTTTCAAACATTTTCAGGATAGAGAACATCCGTTGCGTCTATGAATGTATGCATTTCCTCATAACGTACAATGCTTCTTTGATATTACGTATTGCGTTATGCGGCTAGCGACCTAATGAAACGGCCTTCAATTTTCCTTGGATTTACACGTACAGCCATTGCAAAAACTTGCTACGATATGACACGTATCGTGCCCTCTTTATGAAACAGATTCGGGCTCTGCAAAGTGTCCTTCCTGCAAGAGGAAGTGTTCCCGCATCCCATGCTCGATGACGTTGACTGCCGCGCCGTACTTGAGCCTGTCTACGGACTTCTGGACCAGCTGGAAATCCACGAAGGTCCGAGGATGATCAACCTCACGCATCCCATGCTAAGGCCCAGGATCCCAAGGCAAGTATGAGCTAGGCAGCCAGGGGACGGTGCAAGAAAAAGTTGCAACTCATGGGCCATGGGTCCAACGAAGAAGCGGAGTATCTCTAGCTGCTGATAGTTAGTTCCCAGTGCATGAGGCGATAGTATCTGAACTCGAACACTTAATAGTTGTGTATGTTGATACTGGCAATCGGCAAGCGGAGGAAAAGAGGGACCACAACAAGGCAAAACTTCGAACGTTATGTCACTTTTCGGCCGTATCCTCATCACCATGATCGTGTTACGTAGGCATAACCAAACCAACTAACTGTGGCAGATAGGTGAACGTAGCACCAATTCTAAAATATGTGTCCAAATGAACAACCGACAGGGCTCTAAGAACTCGGGCGTTTATTAGCGTCCGCATGAGCCCAGAACGTAAAATGGCTTCCCTCATGGTCTTCTTCCAGCAAGCTTCTTCGAGCCCTCTGGCATGCTGGCGCCAAGCTCGCTGTTTTCGTCTTTCAGGCTGAACAGGGGAAATTCAACACCATTGTGATTACAGCTAGCCATACATGGCCACGAATTGAATCTATTCTTATTGGCAGCAGTATGGTTGATGGTAATCCAATGTATAAAACCATTAGGAAGGTGTAATTTTCTAGAAAGACAACATAACTGATTACAAATGCTGGGTACATCTTCGGGAAAGAATAGTTGTGTTTTTTTTTTACAGCGAATCTAGGAATAACATAGCTTTATCGTTTTCATACGAGTATTCATAACGTGAATACTAATATGAATACTCTCGACAAGTTTCCGCCGTAGGCGTCGTCGTCCAGTTCCGTATACATTCCGAATCTATAACAGTCCCCCGCACAACTTTTCGCGGGTAAAAGCGCGCGAGTGGGGACAATGAACTTGGCTGAAGCAGAGATCAAACGAGCCGGTGCATGGAGTGCGCATGCAAGGACATTACTCCCGAGTTTGGTTTCGTGCTAACTTTAAGGACACCAACTAACACCGGAGAACAGCTCTAACACTGCCAAGGAATGTGCTGACGCAGGTTATGAACGTGTTTCTTCCTTTCCGTGGCAGTGAACGTCGTGTGATGGAATACTTTGCAGGGACATTCTGTTCGTAATCGGTGGCTGGAGTAATGGCAGCGCGACAAGTCTCGTCGAGTCCTACGACTGCCGTGCCAACCGGTGGTTGACGTTCCTCAACGACAGGGACATCATGCCCCGGGCCTACCACGGACTCGTCGCGCTGGACAACCTCATCTACATGATTGGAGGCTTCGACGGTTCCCAGTGCTTCAACTGCGTCCGTTGCTTCAACCCGGTACGTGTTCCACAGTTTCACTAGTCATGTCTCACAAATTATGTTTAAACTCTAAACTGCAGCAGTGTTTTCTCGTGCAACGTATCGCTGAGCGTAACGTATCGATGTACACCCGCGATCAAATCGGTAGCGTCCGATGGTGCTATCTTTTAAATTGTTCTCAATGCGAACCACTCCGTTGGCCTCCCTTGACTGGGTACAATCGCTTTTTTCTTTCTATCTAGGGCGCAGTGGTGGCCAATCGAGTTCAATCGGACGAATCAGCTTTTCGAATCGTGGTATGATAGCGCCATAGAAAATTACTATGATGCATATTTGCGCAGAAAAAAAAAAGTAACTTGTACCACAGAATTTTTCTAACGGAAACTCACTTAAATTCAGAAACGATTATTTTCGACGGTAAAGGGTGCACACCCGCAAGTATGTCCGTTTTTAGTGTACGTACAGGGTCTGACCTTAGAGTATTGAATACTTCGTTTGGTGAAAACAAAGGAAGAAAGAAAAGAAAGTCCGATCCGAACACATTATTGAATCTCTTCAGGGTACGCTGACACATTGTTTCCAACGCGGTTCCCACACTGAGAGGGCTTCCAAAACGTCACAGGCCGTCACCTCTCTCAAGCAATGAAAGTCTTCAGGAGCTAGCATCAGGGCTGATGCAGCCCCGATGTGTGACTGGCGGATTTCTTCAAGCTTACAAAGCTCATAGGCAGCCTTGATAGTGGACGATTCAACGTTGTTTCAGTCATCCAACTAGTGGTCAGTATTTATTTACTTATTTATTTACATTACCCTCAGGGCCCATAAAGGCGTTACAGAGGGGGTGGATAATATAACAAAAATGCAGCAATAACAGAACACAATAATACAGCCAATTAATTAGAATACATGTTCAAACAATATTCAGTTATTACATTTTGAACCGACTCAATGATTGCTGATGTTTTTTGACCGGGGTCCCACACAGATGACACACACACAGTATGAGAGAGGTTGCAGCCTTTGAACTCCAGGGAACCCATGCAGCGTGCCGAACGCGTTGGAAGCGGTCTATCGACGCCCGCAGACACTGTCTATGGGCACTTAATGACGTGTACCAAGCGAATGGATGTGCTCTTTTTACCAGATTACACACAGACCCTGTACGTGAGAGGAGGTGAAAGGAGCCGCATTGGCGTTCTTGAGGCGTCGTGTGTCCGATAAGAAGAATCAATGAGGAACTTTCGCTGCAGCTCCTGCACCGCTGGACGGAGCGAGCGTGCATGTACGTGGCCAGGTGCTACGTCAGCGTGGCGGTGCTGGACGGCAAAATCTACGCGCTGGGCGGCTACGACGGCGATCGGCGCACCAACACGGCCGAGCGATACGATCCAGCCACGAACACGTGGTCGCTCATCGCCGACATGAACGACCAGCGCTCGGACGCCTGTGCCACGGTGCTCGGATCAAAGGTGCGCATCCGGTTACATAGTCGGTCGTGGCTCGTTTGTAGCAAGACGTGCAAGGTCATAGGTCGTCGCACGGGAGCGATAGGGTGGGGGAGGGGGTTGCTGCCACGAATATACGAACTCCCCCCTCTTGAGTAGGAACACTAGTGACCAATAAGCAACTCGACGCGACCAACGTTCACACTTGCGAGCGACTTACAGCCGTCGGTCGACATGGAGCGTTCACGTCTCCTCGCACTGCTATTGCACCACGAGATAAGTTGGTGTCCTCTCCCTGCGAATCTTATTGGCTGACAAGTTTTTGACTGCAGCCGCGCGCAGGAAAAATCAAGTAGCGAGCGATTATGCGAAAATAGTCGTTTTGCGACCAAAGCGGCCATTTGCGACCAGTCGCTTTGCGGCGAACTTCGTCGCGCGAGCGGTGCTAGTCGCTTGTGTGAACGAGCTGCATACTTCGCCGCAGACCTAAAAATGAACTTTAAAATGGCGGACCGGTGAATACACCAAAACAGGTACGCAAGAAGCAGGTGTTACACACGGAGGAACCCTTGACCTTTCGGCTTTGCTTTATTTGGAACCACATTTCCGCACACTTCTCGCGGATGCACATCGTAGTAACTTCCCATGACACGTTACAGTTAAACCTCATTTTTCTGCTACGTAGGCACATTCTTTTGACGTCAGAAAAAAGGACGTATCGCTAGCACATTTGTCTTCATGCTTGGAAACCTGAGAAGCTTCCAACATCTCCCGGCATTATCTAGTCCAGTGTTCTTCCGTGTTTAGCGCCTTCTTGTTACGTGTACGTATTTCTGTGTATTTGCCAATGCACCGTCTTTAAGTTTATGATGCACCAAGTGATCCAACAGCTAGTGCTTATTTACTTCAAAATGGAAGCTCCCCCCACAGTACCACGGCACACCTGTAATTAACCTGGTACGCCTGTAATTCAGTCGTACCAGCTGGTTTCCTCTCGAATGGCAAGCACGGCTACCGTAAATGCAACGCATATTAGCAGTTAAGCGTGCTCTGCAACATTTCGTGATTATGGTTAGAAAATGATGCAGATCGCTTGTCGAAGCTCCCTTAAACGCGCGAGCCGTCATTGTAGAGCAGGACGCGGCATGTACTTTACAATTATTTTTCTTAGTCAGCTCTGAATTGCTCCCTGTTCTTTTTATAGATGATTCCATATAACCACATCACTGCGCCGTACACCCAAGTCCTCGGCCATTAGCTAATTTGAGCATAGTGAGCCGCATAGTTACTCTGGCCGCTACGGTATAGCACGACGTGTCCGCTATTCCTCTGAAAGCAGCTGCGCGTTCGAATAAAGTGCTCAAGTACATGACGCTCGCTAACCAAGGCACTCATCTTCTGTAGCCCGTATCGTCTTCCTCCCTGCGTAGCTTTGAGTGCGCTTGCACTCAAATCCCTGCAAATCCCTGTAGTTGCGCTCGTGCTTGACGGATTCTAAAAAACACTTGGCACCTTTTGCCTCGTGAACTGTCATGCGCTGGTACTAAAAATATTCCACCGTAATCCTGAAAAAATGTTGCAGGTCTTGTTTAAGGCTTCGTCCGCAGTACCTAAAACTTACGTTTGACTGAACAGCGATGCTAGAATTCACCGGGGGAATGTTCAAGGACTCTCCAAGGTCCCACCTAAGAGCAGGGAAACAGATGTGTGCCTGCATAGAGAAGTCGACAATCTTAAACGTTTTAGAAGTACGTGGCGTCATCAAAATGAGTGAGCGTGATTGGGTGAAGCATTCATGCAAACTCTGTGTGATAGAAACACGGATGCCCGCGCGTAAAGCTGAAGTTCACGCATTTGTCTGTGGAAGAGCGGGGCAAGGAGAAGCGTTGTATAATTACGTCATGCAGGATCGCGTCTGTCACCCACACAAGCGGATCCAGACCACACGCGGCAGCTTTTCGCGTTGCCGATTGGAGGAGGATCAGGGAACCTCGACGGACTTAGTGCTTAGAAGTCCCTGATGTAGGGCCAGAAGCTTACCCAAGGAACATGAACCTCTCTCCCTGCATCCGCAACCCTCTGAAACTTTATTGTACCTTGCATAGCTTCAATATAGTTACGGAATCTTGTGGATAAGAGCTAATCAACGGTTCAGAAGATAGTACATCCACGGCACAGAAAAGACGCTCACTTCCAAGTGAACTTCCTTCTTAATCACTTCTGCGCTCCACTTGGTGAGATGCTAGACCAACTAGCCTTACTCTCTATTGTGCAGACAACTATAACTCGATTTCTGGCACACTGAACTGTGAGAATAACAGGCTTCAGTTTGCTTTGATCTGCTCTCGAATCGATAAGGAGGGTAGTGTGTCCGAACACACGCATTCACTTTCGCGCCCACAGGTGTACATCGTAGGCGGCTTCACCGGGCAGCAAGTGCTGAACACGGCCGAGTTCTACGACCCCAAGGCGAACGTGTGGACCTACATCCGGGCCATGAGCATGCCTCGCAGCGGAGTCCGGGCCATCAGCTACCAGGACACCGTCTACGTGCTCGGCGGCTTCAACGGAAACAACAGGCTTGCCACGGGTACAGCAATCTCAGACCCGTACATTTCTCGGCGTGAACGCTGTATTCGGGTTTTTTTGGTTTGCTGGGAACACTCGCTGGAATGAGCTTTCAGATATGCGGCTGGATTTGGCTGAAATGACAGCCACGTCCACGTCTGTGTAGCGCGGAATCCACCGGCCTTGCCCTGGGGGGGGGGGGGGGGGGGTGACATTTTGCGCTGGTTGCTGGATGTGGTTGGCACAGGAGCATCGTAACAGACACGGAAACCTGATATGTACAAGTGACAACGCATAACATAACAGTGTCCTTGTTTAATCGAATACGCAGTCGGCCTTGGGGCGCAAGCGGCAGCTCCGACGATCCAAGGAGTGACACGTTTGGTCTGACAACACACCTCTTTCAGTGTATACAGACGATACGTGCTTTCTGGCGGTTCCAACATACTGGCAAACAAAGGCGCTTGCCAACACCATTCCTGGTTTAAATGAATCTGCGCGGACCTGCAAGTCTGGTAATCTGCGCATGCTCCTGGGGCTTCAGAGCCCGCAACCGCTGCATGATGTCGCCCCGAGAAGTGAATCCGCCTGCTGGCACGCTCTACACAGACGCGGCTGCGCATGATTAAGTCGTTTGCGTGGAGCAAGCAAACTCGACGTTCAAAGCAACAAACAACTAGAGATGTTACTATAAGCAATGCCCCCGCGCCTTTGCGATTGTGCCCGATCAAACGCCCTTCAATTTGGTGTGAGCAGCATCACGATGTTACCAAAACAAAAGGCCAATAGTATAGAGTCAGTAGAATTATCAGTATTGAATTGTAGACGAATATAGACATCAAAACTGTAGATGTAGACATTGATAAAAAAAAGAACGTACTCGGCTGACGCGAAGATGATATGCGCTGTGCTCGATACGTCACAGGTGAAAAGTACGACCTTCTGAGAGATCGCTGGATCGAGCTGCCCAATATGCACACGCCGAGGAGCAACTTCGCAGTCGCCGTTATTGACGACCTGCTCTTCGCCATTGGTGGATTCAATGGTCAGTTCTGCTGAAACCTGTTTTTGAACTTGTTGCAGGGCTTTCAGTTCGCTTTTATCTGTTTTGGTGGCAAATTGAGCTGGGGCGATATATATAAGTAGTAAACAAAGGACGCCAAAGTCTGGAGCGGCGCTTTGTCATTAGGACGGATCATTTGCCACATTAAGTAAGATCGATCGTTATTCACGTCAGCTGTTTAAACCACAAAAGGGAGCCGCAGTATGAGCTGGGGAAAATGCACGCTTTTTGTTACGATTTAGTCAACATTATACGCTAAGTGTATACATGTATTTCAAAAGTTTAAAAGTGCACGTGCGTATGGCAGCTGACGGAGTTTCCTTCAGAAGAATTCGCCTACAGGCACCATGCACTTAGTGGATGCATGAACTGGAGTTGATTGTTTGATTTATTGGTTTGTTGATTGATTGATTGATTGATTGATTGACAGGAACGACGACCGTGCCGTTCGTAGAATGCTACGACTCCAAAACCAATGGCTGGCGAAAAATCACCGACATGAACATAAACAGGAGTGCCCTCGGAGCCTGTGTGGCTGTTAACCTTCCAAATTCCAGGGAGTTCTCTGTTGTAGGTAAGATTCGAGATTACTCCATAAATCGCGAGCATCAGACGTGTCGTGTTTCAGATCCCGTCGTGAAATCTGTTAGCTCAAACCGAACACCAAGAACCAAATGCCTAGTCGTAGCGTTGGATTCGGAATTACGTCATAACCTGAAGGAAAAAAAAGTAGATTTGAACAAAGTTTTTTCTGCATGTATACGTACCTGCGCTTAACGCAAGCACTGTCTGTCTGCAATGAGTCTCATAAAGTTGGCTGCACACGCTGCTATTACATTTTCAGCCACCTCAAAGGTTGCCTAAGGTTTAAAAACACTCATGCTCTGCGCAAAAAAACAAACAAACAAACGACAAGATAACGGTTTCATAAGCCAAGTCAGTCGGCTATTTTGTTAACTGCATGCTTATATCGAAAGATGGAGCCTAATAAAGAAGGATCTATACTGCTTGATGAGAGAAATTGGCTAACAGCAGTAAAGTCACTATACTTCGCTTGGTGTTTTGAATTTTCCGGCTAGTGCCATTCGTTAAGCCTACTTCTTTTTCGTACAACATCCTGAAAATATACCATCCTGTCAGGGGACGTGCGGTTCCATTCTGTAGTACGAATTCGTACGAGTATGTGGGCGTACAGCGTGACTTTTTTGCGCGTGTATGTATGGAATTGTACTCCTGTCACACAGCAAATATTGCGTCATTCACAGCGAATGTCATTCCTCTGTAAGGCAATTTCTTTGCTGTCGCACGGGGTAACTAGTGCCATTCGATGCAAACGACATTTTATGTAGAATGAGTTTCCGGAACACATTCGATTTCGAACCAAATTAGTAGTCTCGACGGCAGATACTTTTGGAGTTAACGTTAACGTATCTATATGTAAATGGCTGTTAACGTATCTATATGTAACTTTTATAATTTGTAAATATCTTATTTTTTACAAGCTCGACTTATTAACTAGTTTGATGATACAATTGCACGCGCGAAAGTTTCTAAAAAAATATCTACTCTCAACTACAGCGGCTGAACGCCGGCCATGTTTCATTTGTGCTCTGTTGTCGTTGTTGCTCATATCGCGGATGTTGATCGTCCGATTGAACGTGTTGTAGTGACCAAGGTTTGGAATTATCAAGAGTCGTTTTTGCACTACTGGGCCTCCTCCCCGTCCCACATTTAAGCTCGCTGCTGACCAGCATTGAGGACTTATTGGCCAGATAAGTTTAGACGTAAACAAACACTGTCTTCGTAGGCACTACGCAGTTTTGGGGGCCGAAGTTAAATGCAGGGGGTGCGCCGATGAGAATTACGCATACTTTCTGTCAGATGGTGGGCAGGAGAGGAGGGTTAATGTCTTTTATTGGACTTTGATGTAGAAGATTGTACTCTACACCGCGTTCGCCTCGACAGACAAGCCTGTGGAGACCTGACGGGAAAAGGTCGCAGACTACACTTTACCGGTGCCTTTAAGTGGTGGCTGTGTTCTTCATTGTAAATATTTTTTTTTTCGTTGTAGATTAGCGCTCTGAGAATGATAATGTTTCTGGCATATTTAGTGACGCGAGTGTCGCCATCTGTTGAACGTGTCGTGCCGCGGACGTTGTGCTTCCATGGCCGTGTAATACGGAACAGTTTCGTCTAACACTTGCGAGGACCAATTTCTCAATTGAATTGTTCCTCAACGCGGCAAGAAAGACCGCCACTTCAGTGCATCGACAGATCATTTTATCGCGCCACCTGAAGTGGATGACGTCACAAAATCTGGTAGTGGCTCGTTCTGGTCCGCAGCAGCTGCAGGTTAGCATGAAAAAAAAAAATAAAAAACCGGGCAAAAAAAGGCCGCCACACATTAGAAAAGCGATAAAGGTCTTGACGCTGGCCTTAAGAGGGCTTTGCATTCATCTCGGAAGCCCATTGAAAAAGAACATTATAAAAAAAAAAAGCCTTGGAGGGCGGAGGAGGAGGCATGGTAGTCACTTCCGCTGGCCCTCCTTGATTCGCCTGTTCCCTGTGCCTGCTTTTTTTAGCCCGGTTCTCCCGCAAATCGGACCGGCTGCTTGACAGCCTCCTGCCCACCTCGATTCACAAGAGGAGACAGATTTCCATAGCTAGGCGGAGACGGCTCTGACAAAACGAGTAAGGCTCCCGCTATAATGGAAGTACTGTGCCTTCCACGTCTATCCTAGTCCAACCTTAGGAAACCTGACCTAACCTAACCGAACAATCGCCGCCAGGCACTTTACACACTACCAGCACGCATCCGTATTTTTGTAATTCAACGTTTTCTCTGGTATATGAGAAAAACAATACCTCGTGGTCTTTATAGGCCTATGAATAGCCAATATCTCTATAAACTCTAACTAAAACAAAAACATGACATAACGGGCTTTATGTCATTTGTGTACACTCGGGTCACTGAAGTACCCACAAAATGCAGATTAGACTTTGTTTGATCGCTCAGGTAAACACGAGTATGTGCAGTCATGTGAAGTTCAGTATTTTTCAAGAAACAGATGGATTGCCTAGTACCCCAGTCTCATGTTGATATCATTAAGGTGCTTCATGGTAAACCAACGTGTCCGAGGAGGTAGTGAATAAACACTCAACATTTTAAGTGTATCTCAAAGAAGGGGACTTCAACTTAGTAGTAGTTGGGGACACGTACGATAGTTGTTTGCGTTCCTGCGTGTCTGCGTCTTTGTTTTAGCGCACAATTTAAAATGGCTTCAGACTGAGTGACCCAATTAGCTACGCTCAAAAGACGCTTGCTTTTATGCGTCATCAGTCTAATTGGTCGCTCTTTTGCGATGCTATCGATTGATTAGTTATTTATTTTAATTGCAGGTAACTCAGAGCGCGAGAACTGAGCGTAAACAGTGCCTCCTCGATCAAGGGATTGCTCTCCTCGCAAAGCACATTCGCCTGTTTTGAAGAGGCCGAAGTATCATTCGCTCTCTGGCGTAGCTCGTATTTATTCCTCCATAGGATGGACGCCGTCTTCACGGAAATTTTCTTCTTTTACAATTTTTACCCTTATCGGAAGACTAGTGCTTTCGAGTACACACCAACATCAGAGTGTGTGTGTCATGAAATCTCCAATAACTGAGCGTGGTCTCAAGTACAACTTTGAAATAAATTGCGAGTGAAGAAAGGTGTGCCCTGATGAGCACGAATACAATGTCTTCCTGTCACCATTACCTCTTTTTGACGGAATTTACAGTATACTACGCAGGTATTGCACTCAGAACTACGGTTTAGAAGTGACTCCTGAAAAATTGCCCACGTAAAAAAAAAAGCACACACTTAGGCTGCAAATTTCGAGCACACCTAGCGAAATAATGCCGTACTTGGTAACCATACTCTTGGCAAAAGGCAAGCTAAATCAATGTTAATCGGATCTTTTCCACGTGTCTTTGAATGCCTTCCAAGGAAAATAAAGGCAAATATACAAAACCCCACCATGTACCCGTACATCAAGAATTTAGTGCAACGTACAGCCTAAGGCTAGGGCAAAAAAAAAAAAATGTACACGCCGAGTTTCATGTTTGCGATTTATTTTAAAATAATTTACATTGAATTTACAACTGTAATTTGGCCGAACTCGAGCTGGGTACCGACGAAGTTCCAGCAGAATATTCATGAACTTTAAGCTGAATTATCTAACCTAAGACCTTCGAGTTGTAAGGTTCAATAATCCAGCTGGAACTGGAACTTTTTTGTCTTTGTGCCAATTACTGCTCTAGAAGAACGTCTGGGCCACAGAAAAGGGAATGGCATGGCTTGTTTGCTTTTGGCTTATTACTCCTACCCACTACGGGTGATTGGCCATAAAACCGGCGGTTAATGCGGTGGAAAACTTTTTTAAATTGATGATAAAGGATGACGAATGAATCAGTCATCTAAGGTATAAAAATTTTTGAGTGTGTCATGTTATAACAGCTATGAGTATAATAACATCCACAATTATAAGAATTGAGAGGAATTGCGTTATTTCAAGTTTTGATTGGAAATAAATTAACAATGAATTCTTTGTGTCGCTGAGAAATGCGATGTTTTCGTGGAGCCCAGAGAAGCTGCACCGAGGGAATATGGTTAAGTAATGAGTGAAGCAAGCAAGGGCTTGCGAGTAAAAAAATGCTCATTGTTTTCAGGCACTTCACGAAAATAGCAGAGATGATGACACGGGAGACGCCCGCAGCGCGCTGAGCGTGTCCTGCAGGACATAAAAGTTTTTCGTTAGGTTAGGTTAGTTTAGTACGTCTAGTGACACCGAACTAGGGGGATGGGATGCCCCGCCGTGGTGGTCTATAGTGGCTAATCTACTCGGCTGCAGACCCGCAGGATGCGGGTTCGAATCCCGGCTGCAGCGGCTGCATTTCCGATGGAGGCGGAAATGTTGTAGGCCCGTGTGCTCAGATTTGGGTGCACGTTAAAGAACCCCAGGTGGTCTAAATTTCCGGAGCCCTCCACTACGGCGTCTCTCAATCATATAGTGGTTTTGGGACGTTAAACCCCACATATCAATCAATTAGGGGGATGGTATGGGATGAACAACAAGAGGGAAGGCAGGGAGGTTAACCAGGCACATGCCCGGTTTGCTACCCTACGCTGGGGGAATGGGAAGGGGGCATAAAGATGAGAAAGAGAGTGAAAAGAAAAAAAGAGCATTGTCAGTCAACGGGCTGACGCGTATGCTGCGGTGGCACTACACAAAAGTTAAAGGTGGTCACGTATGCCTGTAGTCCTCAAATAGCACAAGACAGCTTTGACTGCTGCTTTTTGAGCCTTCGAAAGGCGAGGACGGTGCCTGTCGAAATAAAAATGGACGTAGGCAACTAGAAGACGTATCTCGTGTTCCAGGCTTTACAGCATGCATTGCGAGGACGAAAATGAGGAAGTACACATTTTGACGAGCCAAATTATGAAACTAACGAAGAAACAGCGGGGGGCCAGAAAAATTTCTTACAGAACTCTGCGAACACTACATATTCAAATCGGTAATTAACTAGTGGACATAATATTTACATAGGGAAGCACATTTCACTCAAAGAATTCAAATTCTCGCGGCCAATTCCCACCGATTGGGGGAGGGGGCGGGAATATGTGTAGTGAGTGGAGGTCGAGGAAAAAAAAAGAAGGGGAGGAATGACCACGAGGGGCATCGCGCGCGAACAGAAGAAGAAGAAGAACCGTCGCTGGCGGGGTCGGGTTTACCGGGGTCGTGTTCTAGCGGACCGTGACGACGTTATAGCGGCTGCGACGTCGCGGCAGAGCCTGCATAGCATGGCCGACGTCTACTCGAAGGGCATGGTCAGCGCGCTGGAAGACCTCCGGCGGCGAAGGTTGTTCACCGACGCCGAGGTCACATGCAGCGACGATGGCAGCCAGTTCCCGGTGCACCTGGTGCTCCTGTACGCCACCTGCCCGCTGTTTCGAGAGACGTCGCCGGGAGGAAACCTAACGAGCCCGCCCTGCACGATCAACGTCCCCTCCGTCACACCGGGAGCTGCAGTGGCGATGGCGCCTGCAGAAATGGTTGACGCCGCCATATCGACGACGAAGCTGGGGCAGCAGTCCGCTGCGCCGCCAGAGGCCGTCCAGGTGCGCAGCATCACTGTGGCTGGTGTGCGCGGTGACGTCATGGCCGCCCTGCTCGAGTACGTCTACACCAACAGGGTGACGCTGAACAGCGACAACGTGCTCAGCATGCTTCTGGTGGCGCAGCGGTTCCAGGTACAAGTGCAGGGTTGGGAAGGTTGTTTGCATAGTGTGATCGATATGCCCGCCATCAATTGACGGCCGCGCGCCCGCTATGTATGCAATGGACTGATGTCGCTGAAACCGCCATGCTTAAGCACAAATGGGTTGACGCGGAGTTTGTAATGCCACGCTATCGTTTCGGTATTTGTTATGGGTATTTCGGGCAGGGAGATCGTTTTATTTATTGATTGATTGATGTGTGAGGTTTATGACGCCCCAAAACCACTATATGATTATGAGAGACGCCGTAGTGGAGGGCTCCGGAAAGGAGATAAAAAACATTTAAACAGATTAGCCATTTCGTGGTCATGCTCCTTTCACAGCAATAAATCCACCATGCTTGTGTGCCAGTATGTCACGGACTTTCGTTTATGGCGTCACGTGAACGCTACCAACGGGAATGCGACACAAAATACACCGATAATGTAGACGAAGTTGCACTTTTTCTGAGGGAAAGAAATGCAATGTGCAATCAACATTCTTAGTTTGAAAAAAAAAAGCACGAAAAAGAACCCCAGCACACAGGCACAAAGAAGACAGGATTACTTGTCTGTGGTGGTTCCTTTACACGCCTTTCTCAAACATGAATTCCAAGAAACTTGCGAAACTGTCCTTGCTTATTGGTTATTGCGATTTGTAACTTCGCTGCTATGGTACACAGATGTAGAATTGCAATGGCAGATACAGATCAAGTTTTTCTGCTCTGAACGAAGCAATCAAATTCCAATGGCAGATTTGGAACGTGAATTGTGTGTTCCAATGGCAGGTTGAGAGCAACTTCACATCACGGATTGCTCCGCGGAGCAAGAATTCTTGCTCCGCCGAAATCGGTGGATTTGACCGGAAGCTCAGGTGACTTATTCTGTGCGCCCACCCTTCATCCAATCACCGATGGATGTCCGGAAAACGCTTTGCACTCCCTCGCACCCTCTCGTGCTATTTCGCTAGATTTCGCCAGCTCCCGTCGAGACGCGCGCGTTCCAATCGCAGATTTGGCGAGAGAAATCCCACTCGGATCTGCTCGCTCCATTCGCAATCCGGCACAGCGCTCGCTATCTGCCATTGGAATTCAACAAGAGCTAATGCGTCGCAAACAAATGAAACAGTGAGCCAAAAAAAAAATCTCCCAGTAAACGGAGTCATGAGTAGCATGCGAAGCAGCGCATGTGTTCCGTTCATCATGGGCACCTTGCCTAATGTAAACGCGCCCTTGCAAGTGGAGCACGCCATGAATTCACCTTAGATTCTGTTGCTTGAACTCGACCGAACTCTTGTTGGAGGACGTCATGCAGGAGCACGTGCGTTCATCGCGGGTCTGCAGAATCTCGTTCCCCGACGCCATCACGTGAGTTATGAAAGAGTGTAAGG